TTCAATTCAGCTCTTTGGTAAACGATAACTTTTTGGTCGTAAATAGATTCTCAGTCTCGGAAAACAAACTACCGACTGCAATGCAAATAGGAGAATACCCTTTTTTCCTCTCCTCTCGTTCGCCACAGACCCTTGTCTGAGAAGAGAGTAGGTACCCTACATATCAGTATAAGCTTAAGATACGAGAATCGAGCAGGGACCCCAGGTCTCAACCATCCGGATTGCCGATAGGTCGAGTCCGTATGGAGACTATTTCTTTGAAGCTTCGATAAGTAATCGCGGTTCGCCGTCTTTGTGGCGTGTCTCATCTCGCAATTCCAGAGTAGGTTGTGTTTAGCTTTTTCTCTTTCTTTATTTCTAGAGTAAGTAGTTGTTTTGCAGTTTCAAGAATGGAATGGCGAAAACCGAAAACAACAACCCGGCCGTTCGAATCCAGCAGGGGTAGACATGTACCGTACTCCACCCCCCAAGTAATCGTGATTACCTCATAAACACCTGAAGTTCTGGTAGAGCACTGTTACATCGCATGTATCTAGGTACATACAAGGTAGAGACCAGTAACCCATCCGAGCAGAATCACTCCATTCCTAATGTCGTCAATCGAGTGAGGAAACTCTAGCTCCAGTAGCAACGGCTGAAACGAACCAGCGATGATGTGTTTTCCCAATCGAGCCCGATTTTTCTCCTACTGACCTGGCCAGTTACACTAAAAGAGCCGAGTTGTAAATTAAAGTACAGTACCCTACCTGGCCTTGCCTTGGCCGTTGTACAAAGGATGCATACGCTGGTAGAGTTAGTAGTTACATTACTTAGTTAGCGAGTATAGCTAAAGATAGAAAGCGAAGAAAAAAACCCACATATACCCTGCTACTGAAAACTCGTGATCTTCTCGGAGCCCGCACTTCAGAGCGTGTCAATATCATTGAAACCTGCCGAGGAACGAGGGCATCTTGGCTCGCTCTGTAAAGCATTTTGGTAAATATCTTTAAGGGGGGGGGGTGGTAAAGAGACTAACGCTCTAACTATTCTGCCATTGCACGCAGTCCTGAATTGAACCTCATCATCACCGCATCAAATATAAAGCCTCAGCCATTGGAATGTGAATATATTATCAGAACCTCAGATGACAATTCTTGATCATATGTACCTCTTGTACACATCGGCCTACATGAAGTATTTCACGCAGCAGAGTATCGGTATCGCGGGTGTATGGATCATAGAGGCACACGCCCACGATGTCATACCTCCTAGAGTAACTAATCCTCCTTCCTCCACCCCCCCCCCCCCTGCCCATAACCCCTCGTCTACTTCCTGATTGCGCGAAAAGGCAAAATTCCAAGCCCTTTAAGCGACAAAAACCGTGTGGATCTGTGGTCTGATATGGGTTCCTAGGTTTGTTATTAGCCTCCTGGATCCTGCTGCCTTCCTGCTATTCTTAGCCCGTCCCCCTTACATATCTAGCATTCAGGAGGCGAGTGCCGAGCCCGGAACGTTACTGTTGAAAAACCAATAATCCTTTCATGCCCAGCTGAGAACACCAAGCATGATAAATATCGCGGTGCCGAAAGTTCCTCCTCTTGGGAATCGAATCGGAACGAGCTCTCCCGAGTGGCCAGGTTGGGGGTACATGGGCCTACTTGTATGTGCTCTTGGCAGGCATCCGAGGCACCTTTTCGGGCAGCTAGAGTGCTCTAGTGCGGTACTCTAGATAGACATCACACGCTCTGCGTAGAACATGTATCATTCCAAGATCCAAAAAGAAGCCTATTAAACGAGTCAACTCCTTTAACTATTCTAGACTCTAGAGTTCGGAGTTCAGACGAAGGCAATAGCAACGCCCAGTACACCTGCATAGATCGATCTGCATGCGCGCGGTACGGTTCCATCTCCTCCTCGTCCCATCCGCCCATCTGCGTGTCTCGGTGCAAGAAATGCTGTGAGGTACAAAAGACATTTGGATACAAACGAGAAATAGATCATCAGGAGAGCGAGTTTGCTTATTCGCTTGTTCCTGCAGTTGTGGCTTTTGTTTTTTGTGTGAGGCGCAGATAGAGTAGGTATCCCGCTCGAACTGGACTGGACTGCGTCATGAATCAAATGGGTCAGAATAAACATTCTTAAAGACATGCACCAGCTATTTCGGTAGCCAAACTTTTTGTTGTGTAGAAGCCTAGTATATTGCCGCGCTGGGCAATGTTTGAAGAAAAGACACCGATTCAACTATGTAGTTGCAAGCCAAGATGATAATAATAACACGAACCATAAGCCCCAAACAAACGCAGCCAAAGGAGTAAAGAAGCAAAGTCACAAAATACTTCCCCGCATAACTCAACCCGCCTGCCAAGCTCTCTCCCGCCCGCTCGTATCAACTCGTGTGTGTACATGTGCCTACAGCTCAACCTCATTTCCACCAAGTTTCGTTGTTAAAAAGAAAGAAAGAAACACCATGTAGCCGAAGACATGGGATTTTGGAGATGCGTAGTGAGAGGCAACGCACGTAGGAAGACACAATAGGTAATATGATGTATGGTTCTATCACGGAGGATGAAAAAAAATCTCCTTTTTTCACACTACAGTGCGATTGTTCAAACCTTCAAATGACAGCCCGCTTGGGAAATCTGGGTTTAAGGTTTACAGGCAAGCCGACAGATACCTTAAGCCGACCGACCGATCAACCGACCGAACAGGGCTCAGAATCGAGTGACAACCCGTGAATCGCCCCTGCACACTTAACTCCAACCACAGGGAAACCTATCATAACCCCAACTCTCGAGGTTCCAGCGTTCGGAGGGAACAAAACTTGTGGTCTGCTAACAAATGCCTCTCTCTAAATTCCACGCCTTTCAGCAAATTCGGCCACCGCAGAGGTGGAATTAGGTAGAGTAGGTTTTGCTGTACACAACTCTACAGGCTACTCAAGACTTAACACTTGGCTCCTCTTCCCACTCCAGCTAGCCGTGACGTGCTACGGCCCGACCCGCGGCCAAGAGAGCTTGATTCCTCCACCGCGAGTTTTTCTGTCCCGTGGTGGCTCCGTGTGATCGACCCGAGTGTTGTGGCTTCCCGATCGCGACGGAGGTTGCCTTTGGCTTCTATTCGGGGAGTGTAATTTCCCGATTCACTGATTCATTGGCTGCGGATACTCTACGGCCACAATAAGCATTGCCATCCTGTCCAGCGCCGAAAAACTCCCTAGTTTGAGTAGGGGGCGCCAGAGACTTTGGATTCAGCTCTTAGTCTTGGTGTTGGGGGTAGCGTATTTATTGCTTTTCTGGTTCGCTACGCTGCTTGGCAGTTCCTTGGGGGGGCTTGAGTTGAGTTGAGTTATATTTTGGATTCGGGTTCGAATTCGGGTTTCTGTCGTTGCGAGTCCTTTTGCAGATATTACAGCCGGCCCGATACCTATGATGTGCACGGGTTATGGTGTTTTCGCCGGTCGGTAGAGAAGCATCTCAAATCGAGAGGACACTCTCTGGCACATGACCAGGCCATCTTCTCAAGACAGTCGAGGGTAGACTCATTGGAGATATCACGATCAAACCGCGAGATGGAAATACATATAATGCAAACCCCTATGTAGGAGTACTGGAGAGTATCAATCAACCATGCAGCCACAAGAACCTCGAACGATGTGCGACCCCCCTACATGAGGTAGAGTACCTACATGTACACTCTACTCTATTCCACTTAAGCTTAAATCTCCACCAAAGATGGTATGAGACTTAGAGCACAGTTATAGCAAAGAAAGAAAGGGCGGATGAGACTTGTGTGAGAGAAATTTGTCACTTCGATTCAGCCCCTCCCCAACCAGTCAATTGCAATCGAGTATTGAAGTGGTGGCTTACTCTATGTATATAAGACTCAAGACTCACCCCGACGTACAGGCGATGTTTGCAGAGTACAGTCGCTCACCTACTGACAGCGGGTCCTGTCTGATGGTTCTGTTTGCATATGCCAACTCTGTTATTGGCCTCAAATCCCTGACAGGATCCGCCTTCACCCCGTGAGTGAGTGTACATACATAAGTGGTTCCTCGGGTATATATGTATACAGTCAGTGCCTCTTGTGCTTCCTCGTATCAAAGGTATGTAGGTAAATTTCCCGGAGATGTGTCATGCACCTTTATCCCGAGGGGTGGGTTGAGTTGAAACTTCTTTTTTTTGCACTTTCAGCCTCTGGACTGGACGTTGTGGGTGGTTCCTGCATGGCCGTTGAGCAACCCAACTCAGGAGGCGGTGGTTCTTGCCAAAGAACACTGACAGTTCTCATCTAACCAAAGGCTAGCACTTCTCTCCTTGAAATGCATGCACTTTACTCCTTCTGCTTGTTTAAGCAATGCTATCGTCCTGACCCTTCCCATCCACACCCTCGTACCCGCACCCGCACCCGCACCCGCACCCGCACCCGCACCCGCAAACCCGGATATGGCTGACAATCCCTCCCCCCCAGTGCATACATACATACAAATTGACTCCCATCCCCAACCCAACCCAGTTTATGCACTTGACCTCCCTCCCTTGTGCCACCATTGAAACCCCCCAGTGTCTACTCTATGCTCTATCGGTAATCCCTCCCCCAACGGCTCTCGACAGCTCTTGGCAACGTCTCTAGCACTTCCAGGTGACGCGGCAGCCAAGGGCGGGTGTTCTTTCTCTCTCTGTGTGTGGCCTCTCCTTTATTCTGCATTGATTCCCCGAGAGAGAATGGGAGGTTAGGATTTACACACATGTAGAGTAGAGTAATAAAGACATGGTCAGATGGCGCACCTTAAATACATACAGTACCTGAATACTTTATAAACCCCCGAGACCCCCCAGAGTCTAGAGAACCTCCCCCAGAGACCCAAAGACCAAAGATCTTCTAAATCTTCCCCAGATCCCCTACCCCGGATTCACAAGCTCTAGAAGCTCACAGCTAGCTATATCTACTTGAATTAACCTCACCACCTAATACCACAAACACCCTACCATAGCCATACTACAACACCACACACCTCCACTATGACAGTCGACGCCCAAGTGCAACAACTCTTCATCGACTTCTCCGGCCTCCCTCCCCCAGGCACCCCCCCACACCCAGGCACCCCCCCACCGCCCACCCCCTACGACACCCTCATCACCGCCTGCCACGACAGCCCCCCCCTCATCCAACACGCCTACGAGACGCACCGCACCACGCGCAACGCGCACCAGGGCGCGCAGCTCCTCTCCCCGTCCTTCACGGGAATGAGCGTCGACCCGATCCTGCAGGAGCTCGTGTACGCGGCCGGCACCCACCGCATCCCGGAGCTCGAGGCGGCCGCGAGGGAGAAGCGGCGGCCGGACGAGATCGATACGCGCAATTGCCTCACGTTCTGGGCAAGGCCGACGGCGCAGGTGAGGGAGATGATTGGGGAGGTGCAGGCGAGGATCAGGAAGCTGTGTGATGGTTTGTAGCTCCTTTCCCTTCTCGCCGCCGAGGATAGCTGGCTAGCTGGAGCTATTCGTAACCAATGTCCAAGAGACCACCCGCTAACTATAGCTCTGTTTGTTACAGACATCTGGCTCATGCCCCTCGACAACCTCCACCTCACCGTCCTCGAAATCGCCCACTCCCGCACACGCCCCGAAATCGACGCCATCACCGCCCTCCTCCGGCCCACACTCCAACAGACCGTGAACCTCCCGCTCTCACCCAAGCACCGCGCGGTCCTCATCCGCCCACTCCTCTCCTTCGACAGCGCCGCGCTCGCAATCTCGTTCGTCCCCGAAGCAGCCACCTCAGAGAGCAGCTACACCTACCACCACCTGCGGCGCGACTTCTACCAAGCCGCCGTGGACAGCGGGGTGGCCATCGGCTCGCGGTACACCGTGCCGTCGGCGCATGTGACTGTTGCGCGGTTTGTGACGGGGGGCGGGGCGGAGAGCTGGGATGTGCGCAGGAGGGAGGAGTGGGTGAGGGGCATTGAGAGGATTAATGCGTGGATTGAGAGGGAGTGGAGGGGGCGCGTGAGGTGGGTGGTGGGCGAGGAGCGCGGGGTGGAGTTTAGGAGGGGGTTGTTGTGGTATGGTGGTGGGAATGCGGTGGCGGTGGGGAAGCCGTTGTGATGAGGGGGTGCTTTGGAGTTTTTTTCTTTTTCAAAATGCCTAGATTTCAGTTTGCAGTAAAGTGCGGTTCCGTAGGCAATAGAATAGATACCTACTTAATGGATTACATTAAAACGCGAAATATCTGTAATACACTAAAAAAGCACGGTATTGTCCATAATTAATAGTCATCACAAGCAATCACTCGGTCCACATCTAATCACGAAAAAAAGCTAAATTGCGATTTATCTTTAGCCAAGCAGCAAACTCACAAACTCCATCCGCCCTACTTCTTCTCCGTCTTCCCCGTCGGGATACAAAAGAAGACCGCCTTCTTCCCCTCCGCGGCCGCCTCATCACACCTATAGTACCCCTTCCTCTCAAACTGTATGATATCATCCACCTTCACCTGCGCAATATTACAATCCGCAATCGCATCCTCTCTAAACTCCGTCTTCGGATTGATGAAATTCTTCAACTCATCCTCCTCCTCCAGCTTCTCCTTGGTAATCAGATAATCAAAGTCCACCAGCTCGACCTGCACCGTCTCCTGCGCCGCCGCCAACCACGTCACCTTCTTCTCCGTCTTCTTAAAGTCGCCCTCGAGATGGAGCGTCAGCTCCAGCGCCGTCACATCGCCCGCAGGGTCCGGACGGGTGATCTTGGTCACAAACGCATTCCCCCAGTCCATGAGCGTGATCTCCTCGCCCTCCTTGAACGAGCGCGCGTCCTCCTGGTCGAGCAGCACCTCGTCGCCCAGCACAACCTTCTTCAGCCCAATCTCGGCGTTCTTCTTGTGCTTCGGCTTCATCTCGACGACGGGGGCGGCGGGGCCGCCAATGACACGGGCCTTGACGGCGCCGGCGGCCAAGACGGCGGTGTGGCGGGGGGAGATGGGGTCGATGACCTTCTTGTTGCCCGCCCAGATGATGGTCCAGTCGAGGTTGACCACGTTCTTGCTCGGGCCCTGTGCGAGGATGAAGTTGCGGAGGGCCTCGATCGTCATTCCGCGGCGACGGATACCGCGCACAGTGGGGAAGCGCGGGTCGTCCCAGCCGCGGACGAGCCCTTCCTCGACGAACCAGGTGAGCTTGCGCTTGGAGAGGAGGGTGCGGATGAAGTTGAGTCTTGCAAAGTCCCAGACGTGGACCTTGCGTAGGCCGAGGGCATCGATCATCCACCAGTACTGCGGGTTGCGGTCGCGGTACTCGATTGTTCTGAGGGCGTGGGTGACGCCCTCGAGCGAGTCGACGATGGGGCAGGCAAAGTCGTAGGTGGGGTAGACTTTGTATTTGTCGCCGGTGCGGTGGTGTACGCTGGGGTTGCAGCGGTAGATGACGGGGTCGCGCATGGCCTTGTTGGGGTCGTCGACGCTGATTTTGGCGCGGAGACAGGTCTTGACGCCTTGTTCGGTGGCGTTCTTCATTTCCTCAAAGGCAGCGAGGTTCTCCTCGACGGTGCGGTCGCGGTTCTTGGAGGCTATGCCCTCCATTCTCTCGTGGCGCATCTGCTCCTGTGTAGTGTCGTCGCAGTAGGCTTTGCCGAGTTTGATCATTTTGATAGCTTCCTCGTAGAGGCGGTCAAAGTGGTCAGAAGTGTAGGTGATCTTGTCACCGTGGATTCCAAGAAGGGCGAGATCCTCAAGAATGGAGTCCTGGAACTCCTGCTTCTCCTTGGTGGGGTTGGTATCGTCGAAACGGATAATCATGGTTCCGCCGTAGTGCTGCGCAAAGTACTGGTTGAGCATAGCTGCTTTGGCGTGACCAATGTGAAGGTAACCTCTGTCAAATTCATGCGATTAGAATTGGGATACTCGGGGTCTCTGGTTAGGGGAGTAGTTACGATGGCTCAGGAGGGAATCTGGTGACAACCCCCTTGTCGGTGTCCAAGAGGCCAATCTCATAGCTGCCCTCCTTGCTTTTTGCCTTCTTCTTGGTAGTCATTTCCGCCTTGAAGCTCTCAACGACAGTAGATACCCGCTCGATGGAACCAATGTACTTGAACCACCGGACCAAGTTGGGAAGGTGGTTTCTCTTGATGGCAGAGATGGCCTGGCCGTTACCATTGAGAGCACCCCATGCAGAAATATCGGCGATGGTAAGAGTGTATCCCACAAGGAATGTGCGAAGGGTCAAGTGGTTGTTGAGTTCCTCGAGCGCAGCAGAGGTGGATTTAAAGTCCTTAGTCCCACCGGAAAGGCGGGTAAGAGTAAAGGCAATCCATTCGTCTTCCTATATGATAAGGTTAAATCCTGATTCTATAAGAATGCCGGGAATTCGGTTCTTACCAAAGAACCCTGGCTTCCACGGAGGTGCTGTGGGTATGCAGAAATCAATTTCTTAAGCACAGCTTCAGGTCCGTAGACGACATCATCGCCCTCAAGCTGAACACCAATTGAGGATTCGGGAACAGCTTTGTCGAGGAGTTCAACCTCCTTGATGACAACCGCAACTGGCTGGACAGGGTCTGATCCGTTAATGACACTGCTCGCGATGAGCGCGGGGTAGATGTGTGCAAGTTGAGCCTGGTAATAAACACCGTTGGTAACTGAGTTAAATAAGGAATCCTAATTATTGTTACGAACCTTTTGAGCGATTAGCAAATTGAACGACGACATTTTGCAAGTGTTACTGTCCGAGCAAGTTGGTCAGGTATGACTCTTTTATTTTTGGTTTGGTGGGGAGGGGCAGTTAACTCATCGGGTTAGGGTTGCGAATGCATCCGGGTAACGAGGACGCCATTGTTCCTTCATTCCTAGCTACTTTGGCGAAGCTTCACGTCTTCCCAAATCACACAAAAAAATGTCGGCTCTTGAGGGACTCCCGTCGTTTTCAAAGGACGCCTTCACAAATACAAGCCCGGAATGTGTATACAAAGAAGTTCACCGTATCAGAAGCCGAAAGGACCCTAAACCGGAGGTCGCAACTGTCAGGGACTACCAAGCTACACTAATCAGGCACCGCCCATTGCCGGAGGTGAAGAGCATCCTACTCATCGATGGAGTTGACCCGAAGTGCAAACATGGTGGCTAGATCCTACGGCTTTCTTTCTAGATATCCGAATGCTAATTCCTGTCAATCTTTTTAGTTTTCAAATTCAAATCAACCGACTTTGCACTCCCGTTTCTCTACAGTGACTCTACAGCCCATTCTCTAACGTCTCAAACGCGGTCTCAGAAACCTCCACGTACAGAAGCCGGACCCTCAACTGAACGCAAACGTCCTATTGAGCCACGGGTAAACGTGGATGTTGCAGTAGCGCCAGAGAGGAAGAGACCCAGGCGGGAATCAGAAAGGCGTGCTGAAGCTGCAGAAAGCCAGCGGGAACGATAGAGCCCGATGCAGTTGCTAGCGCTAGTTACAACGATCACCCGCTATCATAAGGGTCAATCGCACCTACTGAGGAAATCAGTAGTATATGATAAGATATGGATCATATAATATTAGCACCCATGGGTATTTGTCTCACCACCAAGTTTTATCTAGTTACAGGATTTATCTCAAGGAGATTATCGTTCGGTAACGATTGGCTGTTATCTTTTATACCATTTTTTCTTTCTTTTCTTGTTTTGGTTTCATGGAGCCCCTCCGTGTTATCGGAATGCAAGGGTGTAAGCTCTTAGAAGCTATGTATGCAGTATGTGATACCACACAGACTTATCACGTAAATTATGAAGGTTCTCGTTCGGTAATTTGTTTATTTTTAAGAATACACAGCGTATCAAAGTCAGTAGTAGATGTTCATCCAAGCAAAATATAAAGCTCGACGTCCGTAAATGCAAACAAGTCGCTCTTTATTAAATAGGAGGAGAATTTGATATTCCACCTAATATAGGCAATCACACTCATTGTCCCTAAAGGGAGGATGTGTTGTATATGCTGAAGGTGGTTCGGGACAAGTTATAGATTTGGGGGAAACGGACTGGTAGAATGACGGAAAGCTTGCTCTAGTCTCATAGCACTGCTACTTTTCAAGGCTCCAGAGTGATATATTTGTTGGATATCAAACTATATCGCTACACCCATTCTCAACCTATTCTCCAGCACTGGCGCCTAGCACCAGAAGCAAACCCATGCTTCCTGCAAGATCACATATTCCATGTGGGACGAAAGGGAGAAAAAAAGGGAGACAGGACAGCCGTTTATTTAATTTTGAAGAAAAACCCTATTTTGAAAAAAAAGATTGTTTACATGACAACGCCTGAGTTGGAAGCAATACGCTATATAACTTGTTAGTATGGAACTTTAGTAAACATAGATGGGCGAGTGAGCTCTTACCGGCCACAAATCCGCAGCCTCCTTTCCGACGGGTCCAGTAATAGCTGATCCCTTCATCTCACCCTTGGGGTTGACGATCTATTCGCAAGGCCCCACCGTTAGCCTTTCTATCCCTCTCCAATCAACCAACCAGCAAGCATCCAGCCACTGATTCCCCCCAATTCTTCTTCCCCGCCGAGGTATATCGGAAATACATACCACACCAGCGTTGTCCTCAAAGTAGAGGTAGATTCCGTCGGATCTCCTCCATGGCTTGCTCTGTCTGACGACGACGGCAGGCATGACCTTCTTCCTCAGCTCAGGCTTTCCCTTCTTGACGGTAGCCATGACCATGTCACCGACACCAGCAGCAGGGAGACGGTTGAGACGAGCACCAATTCCCTTGACGGAGATGATGTACAAGTTACGGGCACCAGAGTTGTCGCAGCAGTTCATGACGGCTCCGCTATTTAATCTATTAGTTTTCCGGTCGCAGCCTGGAAGGGAATCTGGGAGACGGACACAGGCAGACCGAGGGTCATCTTGAGCTTGTTACCGGCGGCACCACCGCGTCTGCAAAACAGCCATGAAATCAGCATTTAATCTCCATCTTCCATCGTCGTCATTTCGTTCGCCGTGTCCAATTCGGCGGGGAAAAAATTTGGGGTTTCCGTAACGTACCCACGCTTCGACATTTTGAGCTGTTTTTGTTGGTGTTAGTACGGGAAAAGGGTTCTAGGTATCCGTCGGTCGGTAACGTGGAGGGGTCGTTATTTTGTCGTGGTGCTGTAGTCGTCAACTGCGATGTTCGTCTGGGAATTTGCGTGGTCTGGCTTGGTTGTGTGGGCAGGGGCTTGGCGGTGGGATGCAAAATTAGGGCTTCGTGTTTAGCAGTCACAAAGCTCCCCCACAACGATAAACTTCACTGCTGAAACAACCACTGTCTATCAAATCTTTGAAAAATGAAGCAAGTAAATTTCTCCTCTACATGTAGCGGGTTTGAACGCTGATGTTTATCTGAATATGCAATAAGGGTTAGGGTTGATTCTCATGATATCACTCGTTGCCATCTCTAGCTCTGCGCGTGCCCAACTGAAGTGAAGTGAGGCGAGGTTATAACTTTACCTCTTTACAAATATGCTACTTATTTATTAAACCGAATTCATGTGGAATTATGTTGACTATATAAATCAGTGGCTATTGGCATATTCGCCGGCAGAACCGTGGATGCTGCTCTTGGCTATATACATGTAGCTGCACAGAAGCCCTCGCATAACGTCCACCATGCTACTACATCAGGCCCTGATCCCATACCAGCTGCGGACCAATACCACCAGAAGGAGGAGAGTATTTTTACTACATTTCGCATAGGAGCATACAGTAGTTTGAGTTCACTTCGCGATTATACCCAACCTCCATTTGGAGTACGGAAACGGTATATACCAAGAATCCGGCCTTGACTGATCTACCCCAACATCAACCCCAACTATCTTCTTCTCCTACACCCTTTGGAGAAATTATAATAATAATTTATCTGGTTACTTGATGGCAGCGCCTTGTCATCCGGGTCTAATCCACGAGAAAGACAGAGACGGTAGAGCAGGACCTTGGGAGTTGGCGCCCGTTTTCTCTGTTTTTCTGAGATTTGACCTAGTGAGCTGGGGCTAAAGGTCACTCCAGGGAGCTAATCCAGTGGCTATGAAATATAAATATGCGAATATAAACACCAGGTTATTATAATGAGCCTTTCTGTACGTCTGGGCCAAAAATATAGCATAAACCAAAGGCTTGATACCCATACATATACAAATTGCCTGGACTCAATAATAGAGACGTACCTTGACGCTCAAATTTGGGCAAGAGAGGAAATATTCTTTATTTATCTATCTCTTCGGATCGATTAAATAATATCTCCTTAAGACGGAGGATCCTAAGAGGGAGCAGTTTATATAGACAAACCTACAAGGAATGACTGCGTATGTCAGATGTAAGCTTGTTTAGTTGAGTCTACTTATAAAAACCCTCGATGCGCATGGAGGTGAGCCGAGTTCTTGCTACGTGGGGTTTTGGCTTCCCCTGGCCTCAAAGAAAGCATATGTGAAGTAAGACTACACGTTACGCTAAGGTTTATGCTCATGGAAATCACAGAGCTGGCAGAAGTAAATTCAAGCTTTCGCTAGCTACTACAGTAGTAGAGGCCAAATATTGGCTTGGCATAGCCTAACACAGTCTAACATGCCCAGAGCTAAGGACGAAGGCCTACACATGTGGAGTTGATCTACAGTTGATTCCCGAAGCTCTACCCTGCACTACTCGAGACACTGGCCATGAAGTTAATTTATAAAACGCGCTTTCGACTCTTTTCTATCTCCATGGGTGTAACAGAAGTTGGAAAGCCATGGAATCGTATGTGAGGAAAATATTTCATTTGAACCTAAGTGCTACTATCAGAACAAGCACTATGCACTGTGAGTAGGACATCAGCATTAAAGGTATTTCAACTTTATTACTAGCACTGCTAACTCACTTATTTGGACTCCATCGGGCTCTATTACCATGACCCAAATGTTTACTGGAGGTGAGAATGAAGCCTTTCACTTCGGATTACTTTTCATGTTCCAAATTTGAAACTTTGGCCATAGCGGTGCCACAAACTTTTCACACATACTTGAAATTTACCAGGAACTAATGATCATAGTACGTATACTGTTTTTTCCTAATCTCAAAAGCCAAAAAATTTTCTCCGTCTCGTATCAAGCCAACATTCACCTTCCCAGCCTTCGCCACGAATATCAACCGCGTTCCACAAAGAGAGTAACTGTCTCGCCCGACCACTGTGTTCGTGACAATATAGCTATTGTAGGCCTCCAGATATAGAAGGGCTACAAAGAATATACATCATCCCCCCTCTGAAAAAGATGATGCACATTTTCTTTTTCAAGAACCTCCCCTGCGTTTGATACTCTCCAATGTCCACAATCTTTTCAAAATCCTCACACTCAAACGGAGCCTTGGTATCCTCGGACGAACACCGAGCGATTGAGGCTCGCCCCTCAGATCCCACAATGTTGCAAGTATCTGCGAATAGACCCAATCGATTATTGATGTATTGGGAGCAGAGGGCCTCTGCCGAAGCACTAACTTTGGAGTCGTCCGCGGTGGAGGCCTTCCCGTCGAGGCTATATTGGAGACGTTTGGATAGAGAGCCTGGTGTTCTAGATGCAACGAGGGCCAGGGCGCCTGGGCCTGTGAGGAGAACGAGATAGGACAAATATTCTGTAAGTTTCATTTTGATGTGTGATTCTGGGGGATAGTCGTTCGTGGGAGTAATTGGGGGCGATCTTTTTAACTTATATGGTCAGTATTTATAGGTTTATAAATCGATAAAATTTACAGGAAAATACTATGGCTTATAAATTATAAAGCCAAAGAGTCATGAATTTCCAAGAGTCATGAATTAATTTTAGGTTTCGTAAATTCAATACCTATTACGGAAGTTTCAAGAAGGGTTGTCTGCACATTCAACATGCAAGGCCTGTGTTTGACTTGTCTCGCTGTAGCAAGCCTGGTCCCATCCGGCGAGTGACCACCTATGACCTGTCTATACGTACTGCTGCATGATATTGAATTCCGAGATTAGTCGGCAGCGGAAGGAAAATCCCACTCGACATATGCAGGACAGCCGGACTGTCGATCCAGAAAAAAACAAGAACTGCATATTAATTGTTCCTTCGGGACGTGACGTTTCAATGGTCAATCTCACATTTGAAAAATATGACATGATTTGTAGATATCAGCTGATCACCGGCCTTGAAACCAAAAAGAGTTGCGGCTAGGCTAGGGGGAAGGTTCACGATGGTCCTCGGCCTCGGGGTCCGGCATACATTTGCTTTATGCAATGTAGGCACAAATCTCTAGAATGAAAGAGCCCCGCAGCTTGAGCTACATATATGTAGCATATATAGATCTGACTATGTACTCTAGTAAGCGGGTAAATTTCCAAAGCTCCAAGAGATAAAGAGTTTGAATTGGAGCCGCACAAGAGTACTTGCTACTACGGTACTAGTACATCAGGAAGAGGAGCCCTATCAATTAAATATAAAGAACGATCAACCTGAATCCGGCTCGATTCGGATTAACATGTGCATGACGGTGCGATAGGATGCATGATGTCTGTACTCCTCTAGAGTACGGGTAGCACGATTCTGTAATGGAGTGATAGGGCCGGGCTTCTGTTCCAAGCCAGTACCGGTACATATCTTCTAACACTTTTATAAATGCCGGTCTCTTCTCACGATATTTAGATATCTACGATATTGCGCAGTGGAGTTTACAACAAGGGTTTACATGCAGGAGAAAACATAAAAAACCGCATAGTACTACAACTTGTAGGACAACTACATACAGGTCCTCGGATAAAAGAGACTTGCAGATGGAACAGATATCGATATCGGGCTCTGCCGGTCTTTTTTCCATGACAAGAAAAAAAATCATGTTTGTAACAGCTCGTCGTCAAAACAAAAGAAAGCAAGAGAAAGAGAAAGAGAAAGAAAGAGAAGAAAAAGAAAGAAAAAAATGCTATAGCTTTTTCCTCCGCCGATCACATCCATCACCCTGCACGTCTCACCATCGTCCTCAATATCAATACCGTGCATATACACAACACCCCGAACCCGAGCGCCACAGTCGCCATCCCTAGCTTAAACAAGCCTTCGTCGCGCACGTGTACGGCCGCCCCCGCCCCCGCCCCCGCCCCGCCCCCAGCCCTACACCGGCTCCCGCACCCCCACCACGAGAGATTATGATGATTTCGAGGCCTCCACGCACAAGCAGGAAGAAGACAGTCAAGAGTGCACAGAGGGCGAGTGGGTGCACCATGGCTAATTAGGTAATAACAGGTAGGTTACTTTCTTGGAGAAGATCGTAGTTGGGATAGACTTTTTATTTTAGACCCCGGTGCTCTGCGCTCCGGGATGGTGGTTATGCGTTATCTCTGATAAGTGGGTGTGGGTGAGTGGTTGTGGTTGGTACGCTTTTGAAGGTGTGGGTTTAGCGGGTTGTGCTTTTACTGGACATGGGTTGTGTTAGTGATGGATGCGAGTGATGGATTGTGATTGGTACCTGAGGATTATTGGTGTTGTTAACTTTTTTGATGATGATGATGTTTGGTATCTGCGGAGATGAAGCTGATAAGGAAGACACAGGATATCGATGGAGAGGTAGACAGTTAGCACGATATAAACTCGGTCCTTAAGCAAATCACACCGTGTCCATACTTATCTGTCCAAGTGTCCTCTCACGCCAATCCAAAGTTAAGCTTCTAGCCACGGTACTATACGAATATAGACGAATTGCCAAGCATTAGAGAATACAGGAAAGTACATCCTGCTTGAATTCGACAGCAAAGGCGGGAAGTTTGACTTATCCTAAGTTTAGCAGGACCGGGTGTGGAGCGCAGTCTACATTCAATCTTCCCCACTGTTGTCACTTCCGGTAACCAAGATACTCTCAACCTTATTTTTCGAAATCGGAATATTTAGATATATGCAAACAGGGAAAAGACAATTAAGCTAGAGCTACATATTCTAATCCATTTGACAGTGGGGACTCCTCTGGCATTGGTGCCGGCTATAGGCTACTCTAAGGCCACCCTTCCACACAATTTTTTCCTTTTCTTCTTCTTTCTTTAGGGATGGGCAGCAGCCTCCTTCTCGGGTTTTGCGCAGGGCTCCCGAATTTCCTGGTCCCTGGTCCCTGGGCTCCTGTAATCTGGGTGTTAGATTTTCTGTTCCCTGGTTTCCGATTCCTGGTTCCTTGATCCTGGAATTGTTGAATTTCTGCATCTTTTGGAGGCTTCTTGGCCTTCCTTATTGGTCATTCTCTCTCACCTTGCTTCCCTGTCCCTCGTCTCCCGTTTCTTACTTTAGGCTCCCCCCGCAGAAGAACAAAATATCCTATCAAGCAATAGCTGGTCATGGGCTCAGTCCGGGGATTCAAAGAGGGATCTTCACTTCCGTCTATTTCTTCCCGCTCCCCGCCACCCCGCAGAGGGATACATTTATAACCTCTAGATATGAGAGCACTATGAGGGGTTGAGAGTGATCTGCCCCATGCATTGAAGGAGCTAGGGCTAAAGTCCGTCGATTTCTATCGACTCTGTCCGACCGTTCCTGCACTTCTCTCACCGGCTCTACCAGCTTAATTTCAGTGATCTCTGTTTTCCATTTTCAAAGTGAAAGGAATTGAAACTCGTGCAGCCACTTAAGAGTCTGTCCTAAATGCTTGAACTGTTTTATCAGAAAGTAACATGTCAGCTGCAGATCTAGAAGTAGACGCAACTTTAGCTGCATGAGTTTTTGCTTTCAGTACTTGGAAGATGGTGATTCGGGTCAACTGAAAGCTTCTAATATGAAGCTTTTCCTATATGTATAGCCTCGGCCACAGCTCTCGAAGACATGACCTCATATCGATCTCCCGGCCCACTCTATAGGTGCAACCTAAACCCATATTTCAGTAACTTAGTACATATCATCGTATCTAGTAAGGCGGTCGGGAGTCCAGGACGTATCACTTGATTGCCCATCTTCTTTTCTGCATACCTACTATCACCTGTTGAACGAGCGAGTGGGAGCTTTACGGTTCCTTCTATCATTGACATCATAACCCACATAGTTATACGCGTGAGAACTGGCACTAGCTAGCTATACTTGTGCTTTCTGTGGTTGTTTCCGAGGCTACGTTAGATAAGTATACTTAGACCGATATTCCTCTTAGCTGGAGGTGAAGATGGGTGTGCTGTTATGATATCCAGGAGCGGGCGAGGCCGAGGCGAATGTGGTGTTTTGTAAATGGAGATAACCAGCCAAGTCCGTCCGAGTGACCACTTTCCACACCGTCTACGAGTGAGCCACCTCCCCCCTCCACAAAACCACAACCAGAAACCGTGCAGAAACCAGCTTTTCACAACCCAACCACAAATGCAAAAAACAAACCACAAAAACACAAAAACAATAAAACCCAGAATCAATTCATCCATCTATCTATATAATAAAAGGTATCATCAATCATGAAGTCTATCTACCCTCCCTTCCCTCTTCTTCCCTCCTTCTCGACACAAAACTACGCCGTCTTCTTCTGCGCATCCAGCATCTCCTGCACCGCCGCGGCCTTCCTCACGTTCCGCGCCGCATCCCTCTGATGCGCCGAATATAGGAGGAACCCGGCGACCGCACAGATAATGTCAACCACATGCACGCCCCACCAGACATACTGTGTTCCTAGCGCACAGGTCGAGTATTCGAACCGCCATGCTGTTATGCTCATTAGCAACCACACATCAAAGAAAGAGAAGAGGGGGGGAAACATACACTGCGCCTTCTCATCCCACCAGGCACTAACCAGCCCAGCATTCCCGCCATAACCCCCCATCATACTCTGCACCGTAACCTCCCTCACGCCGCCCTTCGCCGCCTCCGCCTCCTGCAACCTCTTCTTCTCGACCCCCGTCGGCAGGTGCTCCCACCTCGTCGCATTCCAGCCCTCCTCCAGCCGCGCATGGCGCACATCACACCCCTCGTGGTCGTGCCCCGTGAGTATGATCCCCGCCTGCTTCCCGTGCTCGGGCGCGCCAAAGAAGGAGCTGAGCACGCGCGAGCTGGTCTCGGCGCTGAGGTGGTTCTGCTCCTTGATGCCGCCGCCCTGGCCGGCGGGGAAGTATGTGAAGAAGGGGGCGTCGACGCAGACGCCGGACTGCTTGTGGAAGGGGAGGTGGGTGAGGAGGACGGTGGCCTCCTTGGGGTTGGTGTTTTCGGCGGTGCTGGATTCGATGCGGTTGATGAGGGCGTAGGAGTCGTCGCGGAGGGTGGGGTCGAGAATGGGTTCGTCGAGCGTCATGCTGTTGAGGACAACTAGCTTCAATGATGGGGCGGCATCCCCGCTGTCGTGCGGCGGCGTGACCGTGAGGTCGTAGTTGATGGGGCCAAACATGTCCACGAAGCGGTCGACGCGGCCGCGGTTCATGTCGCCTGCATAGCCAATGTCGTGGTTTCCCGGCAGCGTGATGACTTTGTACTTCCAGTGCTCGCTGTCTGCATTCCCGGCCTCGAGGTCCGAAGCGTTGACCTTGTTCCCGCCTGAAAAGACCTCCCAGAAGCGGTCGCCGCGGCGCTTGAACTCCTCGTCTCCAATCCACTGGCTGCCGATCAGGTCGCCGAGCACCACGGTGTGTGTAGGGTCCAGCTGGCGGCGCATGGTCTTGTAGATGTGAGAGAGGTAGAGGTCATTTCCCCAGAGGTCGATGATCTTGCGGTAGCGGTGGAAGTCGCGGGAGAGGTGCTGCGGGTCTAGGTAGCTGAGGAGGGGGTCGCCGGGCTTGTGCTGGCTTGCGTAGCGGCGGATTGTGGTGTCGCCCTCGAGCTGGGGGTCGCCGAGGGCGAGGAGGCGGAAGGGGGCGGGCGTGCCGTCGGGGGGGAGTGGAAGGAGCAGAAGTGGAAGACGGGGTAGAAGTAGAGGTAGACGTTGAGGAAGACGGCGAGGGGCATGAGGAGGTCGAGGTAGGCGACGATGAGGATGCCTTTGAGCGTCATTGTGGCTATCGGGGGTGGTGCATTGGGGGGCGGAGAGGTTCGGGGGAGAGATCGAGGATGTAGGTGTAGAGTAGAGAAAGGGGTGTGTCTGTAGTTAGTAGCGGTAGTAGGAGACAGTAGGATAGAAGAAGAAGCTGTCCAATACTGAGCGGTAGATAGGCAGACTCTCTGCTCTAGAGATATCGCCTGTAGCTGTGGGAGAGAGAGAGAGAGAGAGAACGGTGATGTCTGTCTGTGGTGTTGAAGATTCCCACGTCCAAAGGACCGTAGTAACCTGCACACGAGGTAGCTCTTGTCACACAGCAACGGGCAGGGATGGATGTCACTCACTCGCATCTACAACCTCAACTCAAACACAGTCACTACAACTATTGGCCCTCCATAAATTCTCTCTTATAGCTTCCTCTAGACAATACAGCCCATAAATACACACACAAGACATGGCCAGCGTAGTCCTCTCTCTCCCTCCAGATCTAGATCTACCCCGCTGACATCCCATCTCCTCCAGCACGGCATCTCCCGCAGCGAGTACACCGCCCAGTCGCGCGACGAGCAGCTGCGTGCAAAGGAGCTCAAGAAGATCACCGAGTACAGCGATCTCTGCGCCCAGGTGCTGGAAAGAGTAACGCCCCTTCGTTCCCTCGCGGCTCAGTAGTTAATCCAGCACTGGGGGCAAATATCTATACCTAGTAGACATGGCATGGATTGGATTGGGGTATCTACTTTGACCAGACTAACACCCTTCTCCCCCCCCCCCCACCAGAGAGCCGCCAACGACCTCACCCCCGCCGCCATCGACCTCACCTCCCAACTCCTCCGCCTCAACCCCGAATTCTACACAATCTGGAACTACCGCCGTCAGATCCTTCTCCACACGCACCTCGCCCCGCCGCCCACCGACACCCCTCCCGACGACACCTACCACCAGACCCTCACCGCCAACCTGCACAACGAGCTAACCTTCCTCCTCCCCCTGCTCAAAACCCACCCGAAATGCTACTGGCTCTGGAACCACCGCCTCTGGACGCTTCACCAGTCCACGCCGCTCCCCAACAACCCCTTCTGGTCCGCCGAGCTCACCCTCGCCACGCACCTGCTGCGCCGCGACGTCCGCAACTTCCACGGCTGGATGTACCGGCGGCTGCTCGTCCTGCAGATCTCGGGCTCGCTCACGGAGCAGGAGTTTGCGTACACGACGGCCATGCTGCAGGGGGCGGGCGGGATGTCGAATTACAGCGCGTGGCACCAGCGGTCGGCGCTGATCCCGCGGCTGCTGGAGGAGCGGGGCGCGGGGGGGCAGGAGAGGATGGACTTTTTGGAGGATGAGTTGGAGCTGGTGAGGAGGTATACGAGCACGAATCCGTGGGATAGTGCGGTGTGGTTTTATCATTGGTGGTTGGTGGGGAGTAGCGCGGTGGGTGGGGGGAAGGGGGAGGCGGTGGTGGTGGGGATGGAGAGGGGGTGAGGTTGTTGATGGTGGGGGAGGAGGTGGAGGCGTTGAGGGATTTGTTGGAGGAGCATGCGGGGTGTAGGTTTATACTGAAGGCGCTGGTGGGGTGTGTGGGGTTGTTGTGGAGGGTGAGGAGGCAGCCGAGGGGGGAGGGGAGGAGGAGGAGGAAGAAGAAGAAGAGGTGGATGAGGAGAAGGAGAAGGTGGAGGTCAAGGGCTGGATTGAGAAGTTGATTGAGCTCGATTCGATGAGGGCAGGGAGATATCGGGATCTGGAGAAGGAGCTGTGGGCCCTGCTGGTGTAGATAGCTCATGTAGTTTGCGGTTCTTAATAAAGCAGATCCGCCTATTCATCAGACATCGTGCCCTGTAATACATACAATACCTGTAGGCTTATCCATTAAGCTGGATCACTCATTCCGGAAAAGAATTCCGTAGCTTCCCTCATTACAGTAAAAAAAAAAATAGCAGGTCCGATCACCACTCCTCGTAGCCCTATCCTTAGGCAGTATCTATCGCGGCGTTGGTATAATCCCATGCCAAAGCTTAAGCACAGCGTCGTTGGCGCAGAACTGGGATACCGCCCAAGCCAAGTACGCCAAACGAGTGATTCCCCATGATCCGCTCCAAGCCAGTCTTTTATATCAACTATGCATCCCAGCCCCGGTAATTAGGATATATCTGATGAGCACAGAGCAGCCAGCTTGTCCAGATCCCGTGAGATTATATAAGGCTAGATTTTGCCGTGCCGTACTTTGTGCCCTGTAGTCAATTGCAACTGACAGATATATCCAGCTAGCTCGGCTTCGACCCCGGTGCCTCAAGGAGCTAGCTACCGTAAAAGAAGGAGGGAAATTGCATACACATGGGCTTAGGTTGAGGATATCTATGGACCCACATACATCGACATAGCTGTGTTTTTGGCCAAGCAGAAAAGTGTAGATAACACAGACTCCTCATGCCGCAGGTACCGGTGGGAGGTGGATCGAGGTTGTCAATAGCTCCCAGGTGCGTGCTAGAACTTTGATAGCCCATTCTACGGTGCGGCAGAGAGCGGCACTGAACTCCTGCTTGCCGGCTTTCAGTTTTGGATCGAATGGGAGTTACCCCATATGTCCCAACCCACCCACCCACCCACCACAAAAATCAGCACCTCTGCTATAAGGAAACGAATGCCGCCATGTGACGGAAACAGCTCGGCCCCCAGAGTACCCTCACCCAAGGCATGGTGAAGTTCACACCATAGCCAGATACCTCGAGGTAGTCTTATTGATCCCGTGCTCATGCATCGGCCTACGATCGCTGCTCCTTTAAAGATATCCACCATAACGGCTGCAGGAGAAGAAGTGACTTACTCAAGAATCAACGTCAAGATCTATACAGGGCGAGCGTTTCTGCCGCGGAAAACCAAAATATGGCTTCTTATGGAACTATAGGGCATGCAGGCCGTGCGTCAATGATATATATTGCCAGCGATAACGGCAGGGGAATAAGGTTTGGTTGGTGGAATACGCACGGTCATGCTAGAATGTACATGCACAATAAGGAATGAGTGGAGTGTGGAGTTGTTTGTCTGATGTTTGGTTGTGTGGGTTTCCTTCTGTTTGTTTGGATGGTGCTGTTGACGGTTTCTGGAGCAGAGTATCATCAGAACACACACAAAACCAAGCAAGCAAAACAGAAGCAAAGACTACGATTGATCCCCATGTTATCACCGTCAATTAGCCATGCAATTATAATACGCTACGTTTATTATTTTATATCATCAACGCTAACAAAATAAATCACCTCCTACCCTCACCACCTCCACCCTCCACCACCTCCTCCTACGACCTTCCCCTCTTATCATCCTCACTCTCCTTATCCTCGTCCTCAGCCGTATTATACGCACTCTCATCGAGGCTCTCCTCCGCCCACAACGAGTTGCCACTCCTCCTCTTCAGGCTCGCCCCCAACCTATTCATATCCGGCCTCTCCGTCCCCGCCTCACTCAGATCATCCTCCTCGTCCTCCGCGCGCTCCGTGCCGTCCGTCTCATCGTACAGCTCCCCATAACTCTCCAGCTCTCCCTCCTCCTCGTCATCGAACCCCACCTTCCTCCTATCCACCTCCTCGCCCCAGTCGCCCACCCCCGTAAGGCCCTTCAACCCGCCACGCCACGGCCGGCACCGCTTCACGATAGTACCGCACCGGAGACAGCTCCACCCGTCGCCCTCCTCGAGCTCGATCTTGCCCGCAATGCACACATAGCAGTAAATATGCCCGCACCCGACCGCCTCATACGGGTTGACAACATCGGTCGCCTTTCCGCCCGTGGCGCCAAAGTCACCCGACGTGTCGGTCTCCTTGTGGCAGATTGCGCACGTGCGCTCGGGCAGGAATGCGAGCTCGCCCTGGGCGGCGGTGGGGTCGGCGGAGTTGGAGCCGCGGAGCTTTCGGAGGGCGCGGGACCACCAGCGGCGCCAGCGGGACACGCGGATGAGGGGGAGGATGAAGAGGAGGAACTCGGTGAAGGCGTGCCAGACGAGCTGGCGGTTGAGGTATTCGAAGCTGACTTCGCGGGAGACGATGTGGGAGGGGGAGACGAGGCGCATGCGGAGGACGCGGTCGAGGATGGTGCGGTAGTGGCCGGTGAGGAGAAAGGCGGCGAAGGAGACGAAGGAGACGGTGGAGTGGGCGGTTGAGAGGGTGTCCATCATGCGCGACATGCGCTCGGTCAAGGGAGTAGACTACAGGGGGGGTTAGCTGGGTGGGACCAAGTGGGGGAGGGGGGGGGGGGGGAGTGGAAGCTTACGTCTTCGGGATTGGAGTGTGATAGGAGATATAGGTGTAGCCGCTGGTAGAAGTATCGCCCGCCAACGGTCATGAGGCCGTACGCAGACTTTTGGAGAACTGTGGGTGGATGATCAATGGGCCCTGATCGTCGCGCATCGGTATAGACGAGGTTTTGGAGGGCGGCGCCATACGTCGCGTTATGGTCCCAAATCGTGAGCTTGAATAATGCCGCCCGAAGCAGCAACATGAACTCGGGCTCCCAATTCTCTTTCAGAGACGGCTACAATCATCACCAGTCAGCATTATATTCTCCTGCGATGGATTGGGCGAAAAGGCGAAAGAAAAAAATAAAAGCGTCAGAAGCCAGCTGAAAGCAAACAACGCACGCACGCACACACACACACACACACATACCCGAAAATACTTGAGGCCATTCCACAGCTGCCCTTTCAGCAGTTCCAACAGCTCCTCGTCTAAGAGCTCAGTGTCCAACTGTCCTACCCGAAAGGCTGGCCTAGCACCAGTCTTGATATCACCGCCTCGAGTCGTGAATAAAGCACCTATGGGCCCATGAGAGGCGACCTCCTGCTCACGATTAGCCTGGAGGGTAGTTATGCGTTGCTGGGCGCGTTGATGTGCAAGCTGCCAGTCTGCTGGTTGTGGTAGTGTAGCGATTGTTGTAGTTCCTGTTGCTGATGCTGATGCTGCTGCTGTCCCTGTAGTCGTGGTGGCCATCGTGTCCGATGAGGGAACATTGGACGTGGGTGGGGGGCGTGAGAAGAAGAAGACGGAGGTGAGAGTTTGGGTTGAGATAGGAGCAGCAGCACTGGCAGCAGTGGCAGGGAGGGTAGCCGTAACCCAGCTGGTGTTTGGTGTTGACGCGCGATTGGGTGCATGGGGGCGAGCGAGTTGCCGAGGTGGTGGGAAAAAGAATGCTTGTGGAGTGAGTGGATGCACGTGGTGCGCGTAGATTATGGAATGGATGGATGGGCTGGCTGGCTGGTTGAGTGTTGGGAGGGAGGTGCCGAGTGATTGCTTGTGAAGAGAGTCTGCAGTTAGACTCGTAGGTGCATGTAGGTAGAGTAGAGCAGTAACTCTTTGCGCAGGGGATCCCAGACAGTAAAGTGCAGGCAGGCAGGCAGGCAGGCAGGCAGGCAGGCTTGCTAGTATCACGGTGTCAGTGTCTATCATCAACAGGTTTGTATGGATGAGAGCAAATCATGGATGTGAGTGATACTGTATCTAGTAGGGCAGTATTGCATGTACCGTCTGTATTCAGCCAACCTCCTCACATCCACGACATTGATCCTCCCCTTCCCCTTACTCTTTCGCTCTCACTCTCACTCACTCTCCCCTCATCACCAAAGTGCACTCGCTCAGGAACAACTTCCCAGCCTACATAACCCCATCGCTTACATGCTTGGCATCCAGCCATTAATGCGTTCCCTCGGCATTTGCCGCGACAGCCCCGAGCCCTAGGCATCCCATTCCCACCCAGCCCACCACCACCCACTTACACACTCACTCACTCTCTTCCCACCACCCGCATCCGCCGAACCCCTCGCGTTTCATGTTTGCATGATACGGAACTTGTAGCAGCGGGGTATGTCGAGGCATTTCTGGTATGGGGATGGGACGGGTGTTGGTAGGTAGACGGTAGAGTATTCTAGAGCACTGGAGGCCGAGGAGAGGAGAAGAGGAGAGAGAGTCTACAGGCAAGAACTTGCAGAGACACAGACAGGCAGACACTAGAAGAAGACGACAGATCCATTTTCGCACCCCTCCTCGTCGTCGTCGTCTTCCCCCCCCCCCAAATTCATCCTTTATCTCTAGGATATCGGTGCATACAATCTCTCTCTCTACCTACCTACATAGTAGTGTTGCAACAGCTGTTGGTATTGTAGGCAACAGAAAAGAAGAAAAGAAATGTTTTTGTGACAAAGGCCATTCCTTTTCCTTTTCCCTTTCCCTCTCATCTTCTTCTTTACTCAAAGACCAACGTGACTCGTGAACAACTGCTCTACAACTCTAAGACTATCCATCCTTCTGCATAGCATAGCATAGGCACATCTCTTCTCGTTCGTTTCCCAGAGCCCCCCCCGCCAAGCATGCAGATTCACTGACATGTACCTACCTACAAATTTAGTTGATATCAATCCCATCCCACCATCATCCCGCAGCTTCAACCACCCATTCACCCCACCGCCCCCCCAAACCTCCATCCCGTCCCCTACCTCAGCTCACAACCATCACATATTCACCACTCACCAACACTCACCATACCAACGAGCGAGTCCCTCCCCACACACCGCACAACCATGAGTTCAGGCGTCCCCCTCACGTCTGAAAACCTCTTTGAGGTGCTCCAAGCCGCGACCTCGCAGTCCCAGGAGCTGGTGCAGAATGCGTCGTCCCAGTTGAAGAGCTGGGAGCTGGTGCCGGGGTACTGGGGTATGCTGCAGGTTTGTTTTGTTTATTACCTGCTGCTGGAATAATATATACTGGCGAGAGAGAGAGAGAAATGAAAAAAAGATTTGCAAAGGGCGGGCTGACTGACTGGTGGGCTGTTGGTTGGGTCCTGGCCGCGGGTAGGATATGTTTTTGAACCGCTCACTCCCGGTAGTGATCCGGTGGATGTCGGTCATCACGCTGAAGCAGGGCGTCGACAAATACTGGCGGAAAGCAGCCACTAAGTACTTTACCTCTCTCCCCCCGCTCTCTCCCCCCTCGCATTCGTTATGGTTGGGTTGTGGGCGGTAGCTGACTTCTCGGGCGTGTGTGCCCCCCCCGGCGACCCACAGCGCAATGCACAAAGAAGAAAAATCCTACATCCGCGCACGCCTCATCTCCGCCATACTAGACGAGCCCAGCTCGCAGCTGGCCGCCCAGAACGCCGTCATCGTCGGCAAAGTCGCTCGTCTCGAGTACCCCCTCGAGTGGCCGGACGTCTTCACCGAGCTCACCACCGTGATCCGCGACTCCTCCGCTGCCCCGCTCACCGAGACCACCACCCTGCGCCTGACGCACTCGCTCTCCATCCTGCTGCACGTCGTCAAGGAGCTGGCCACGGGCCGGCTGGTCCGCACCAAGGCCGTGCTGCAGAGCGTCACGCCAGAGGTCTTCAGGGTCCTCGGCGGCGTCTACGTGAAGCACGTCGAGCTCTGGCACGCCCAGCTCGGCGGCGGCCAGCAGACCTCCGTGGAGATGATGACCATCACGCTGCTGTGCCTGAAGATCCTGCGCCGGCTGATCATCGCCGGGTACGAGTTCCCGAACCGCGCGCCGGAGGTGCAGGAGCTCTGGCAGATCCTGTACGGGCAGGTGTGGGTGCTGTTCCACGCCGAGTCGCAGCTGCCGGCGAGCGGCGGCGAGGAGCTGGCGCTGCTGAGGAAGCATGTGGTGAATATGGGGAAGCTGTTTCTGGACGCCTCGACGAGCCATTCGGCGGCGTTTGCGCTGTTCCCCGGCACGCTGCCGCTGCTGGGAAAGTATTGGGAGGTTGTGGCGGCGCATGGGGAGACGCTGGTGGAGCGCAGCAAGGAGAACCTTAATGGCAATGAAGGCAGTTCTGGGGAGGAGGACAGGAGAAACTTTAGAGAGAAGGTCGCGCTACATGGAATGCTCCTGTTCCGGAGTTGCGCAAAGATGATCTTCAATCCCGTCGCGACATTCAAGTGTATGTTGTTTTCACGTCTACAAGGGTGCGGGGGGTCAAGTATCGGTTTTGCAGGTTTATTGACAAATATGCAGACAGACACAAAGCAGAAAAGGACGAGAACCGAGAGGCTACAGAAATATTCAAGACACAGCTATTCACGCCGCAGACAGTCACACACTGCATGGAGGTGCTGGTGACAAAGTACTTTGTGCTGTGCCCCAGCGACCTTGAGGGCTGGAGCGAGAACCCGGAGACATGGTCAGAGCACTGGGAGAACGCGACGGAGAGCTGGGAATTCGTCATCCGCCCCTGCGCGGAGAAACTGTTTATGGACCTGGTGACTAACTACAAATCAATCCTTGCGGAGCCGCTCATGCGGGTGTTTAATAACTCCATCTCGTCGACGGACGTCCTGGCCAAGGATGCCATATACACAGCCGTAGGGCTAGCGGCGCCAGTGCTGCATCCCAGCTTGGACTTTGATGGGTTCCTGCATAATACCCTGGTTAATGAGATACAGGTGCAGCAGCAGGGGTACAATATACTGCGACGCAGAATCGCGATCCTGATCGGGCAGTGGGTGTCGGTCAATGTGTCGGCGGAGTCGCGGACGACCGTCTACAAAGTCACCCAACACCTTCTCAACCGTGACGACCCCTACAACGACCTAGTTGTGCGCTTGACTGCTGCGCGGTGCCTGAAGAGTAGTGTCAACGAGTGGGAGTTCAAGGTTGACTCGTTCTTGCCCTATGTAGATGACCTGTTTGGCAAGCTTATGGGCCTGATCGATGAGGTCGAGGAGACGGAGACGCGCATGAGCCTGCTGGAGGTTATTGGGCTCATTGTAGAAAGACTAGAGCATCACATTGCGCCCTACGCTGAGGCCATTGTCCGCATCCTGCCACCGCTGTGGGAGCAGACTGGGGAGGAGCATTTGTTCAAGCAGGCCATACTTACCATTCTGACGAAGCTGGTGTCGGCAATGAAGGATAGGAGTTTGGAGTACCACAATATTGTGCTCCCGCTCATCAAGTACTCTGTCGAGCCCGGATCCGTAGGTTTACCTCTTCCCCCCCACCTTGGGATGATACTGACAATTAGTGCTGCAGGGAATGCAAGTCTACCTCCTGGAAGACGCCCTAGACCTCTGGGAAGCCACCATCCGTTCCGCGCCTTCCCCCGCCTCTCCCGAACTCATTGACCTCGCCCCACTCCTCATCCCCTGCGTCGAGAACGGCACCATGACGCTCCGGAAGGTGCTCGACATCCTCGAGTCCTACGTCCTGCTCGCCCCCCGCGAGATGATCGAGAACCTGCGCTCGCAGATGTTTGCGGCCTTCGCCTCCCTCCTGGGCACGCTCAAGCCCGAATACAACAGCATCATCACGCACGTCGCCGAGATCATCATCCGCGCCGCGGAGACGCTCGGCGGCGAGCAAGCCCTCTCCGTCGTCGGCCACGAGCTCATCGGCAGCGGCTTCCTCCTAACGGCCCTCGAGGGCATCCACGCCAGCTACCAGGCGCACCAGACCACGGGGCCAAACCGCGTGCACCCGCCGCTGGACACGGTCGTGATGACGGACTACCTGGGCGTGCTGTCGCGCATGGTGCTGGCGAGCACGGGCTGGTTCGTGGAGAACATGCGTGTGTTTGGCGAGCGGAAGGGCATGGGCGTGGAGCAGGTCATGGGCTGGCTGCTCGAGGAGTGGTTCGACCATTTCTCGAATATCGGGAATCCGAAGGCGCGCAAGCTCAATTGTATGGCGCTCACGAAGCTGCTTGAGACGAATGAGGGGTGGGTGTTGAGGAGGTTGCAGGATCTGATGGTTGTGTGGACGGATCTTGTGAATGAGCATTTGGATAACGAGGGTGGAGAGTATGTTTTTTTCCCCGTCCTTTGTGTTTGTTTGTTTGGATGAAGTGCTGATTGTTGGTGGTGGTGGTGGTGGTGATAGTGCGTTGATCTATTGGGTCCAGCCCGAGGACGAGAATGCACCCGTGACCCCCGAGAGTTCCAGGCGGAAGGCGGTATGTACCCAATTCCCCCTCTAATTCCCCACTCTCTCCCTATCCATTCCATTCCCATTCCAAGAGATTTCCTCTTTTGTCTGGGGCGGTTTATTTTATTTCCCCATATTACTCGCACCTCCCCGGGCCGGAGATTTCCCCGGAAATACATTCGGTTTCACATTCCGTCATTTGCTAACAATGCGTACTGGCAGCTCACCCAATCCGACCCCGTGCACGCCGTCAACGTGGTCGAGTTCATCAAGCACCACCTGGCAAAGGTGCAGGGCGAGAACGGTGGGCCTGGTCGCTTTAGGGAGGACTGGGTGGTGAATGTGGACAAGTACGTGCTGGAGGGGTTTGCCAAGCTGGGGGTTATATAGATGTGCTTGTGGTTGTGGTTATGGGGCGATGAATGATGGATGATGGGTATGCATTGTTCCTGCGGGGTTTTAAAAGCTAGAATTCTTTTTTTCTTTTTTTTTTTTTCTTTCGCAAAATTATACTTATTGTTGTTGTGGGTGGGTATTTCGTTATTGTTAGCTAGCAGGCAGGCAGACAGGCAGGTAGTGGAATGAATGAATGAATGAATGAATGGGATAATGAAGAGACATGTAGTCCAAGTGGAATTGAGTCTGTAGTTATGGGAAAGTACTCAGAGGAAGGGGTGGGGGAGGAAGGGATGGAGAGGGGAGGGGTCGTTATTATTACTATTACCCCATTACTCTATTTCCTATTGCCCTATTGCTGCAGCTACCTATTGTGTTGAAATTAAAGGTCAGGGAATCTCAGTCAGATCACTCACACACAGATCGCTGCCCTCAACAGTTCTGGTTCCGGTTCTGGCTCTGGCTCACTCACTGACTTACTCGTGCATTGCATTGCAGCAGCCAGGGCCAGGCAACGTCTTTCCTCTTCCGTCGGCATGCACGTGCGGAAAGTGGTGGGAAAAAGACGAGAACGAGAGTGAAGTGAGAGAATGAGTGAGAGTAAGTTAAGTGAGAGAGTGAGGGAGTGAGAGAGTACGACAGACAGACACTTCACTTACATGTACTTAGAGTGCTGACTGCAGGCGCCTGACCCCTTTTCACGACAGGGAAGTCTTTCGTCTTTCTCTCTCTGTGCTCTTTCTTTCTCTCTTGCACTTTCACTTTCACTTTCACTTCTTCTTTCACTCTCTTCTTACTCTCTCTCTCTTTCTCCTTCTCCCTTTCTCCCTTTCTCCCTTTCTCTTTTCTCTCCCCCCCACTCCACCCCCATCCACTCATTCTCACTCGCTCGCCCACACACACACAGCCATTCGTTCACTTTCCCTGTGATCGACCGGCTCGACTGTCTGTGCTGTGTCTGTGGATCCGTTCCATAGACCGTCCTCTCCTTTAGCAATTGTTTCTTTTTCTTTTCTCTTTTTTTTCTTTTCTTCGGGATTCGCGACGTTTGATTGCTTATCCTATTCACCCGGGCCACTCAGTGTCGGCCAAACAAGCAAGCAGGAACGTGCGTGCGGAACATGTGAAGGGCCGATACTCACTCCATACCGACCTGTCACCACACACACACACACACTCACTTGACCACTATCTCGCTATCTCACTATCTCACTATCTCACTATCACCACTCCCCTCCCCTCTCCCCTTCCCTCCTCTCTCACCATACACAAGACAGAGGCAGAGACACACACACACACAAGATACCATACACCAGACATGTCGGCCCCCGAAGACTACGACCCCTCGCCCCAGAATCGCCGCCTCCGTCTCCGCAACTCTCTCGTCCGCCCCTCCCGCCTCTCCTACGGGCCCTCCGGCGCCGACGACCCCCCCTCGCGCGCCCCCTCCCCCTCCCCGCAGATCGACGACAACGGCTGGGAGACCGAAGATGCCGACAGCACCACCACCCCCGCAACCACACCGACACCCCCGCCGCCACCACCACCCCCGCAACCCCCACTCGACGAGGAGAACGTCTCAAACTCGGCCCGCAAGCGACGCAGCCGCGATGCGCCCTTCTTCCCACCGGCGCTCATGGGGCTGTCGCCTGCGGCTGCGGGAACAGGTGGGCTAAAGCCCCCCTTCCCCGGCGTGAACCATAGAAGGAATCGCAGCGGCAGTGAGGGCGGCCAGAGGGGCGACAGGTATGTGGACTACCTTGAGCGGCAGGTCGCGGACCTATCGGCGCAGCTGCAGGGCTACACGAGTCCCAGCAGCGGGACGTCGCACGCCGTCAAACTGCGGCGACTGAGCAGTGAGGCGCGCAGCCTGCGCAACGAGGTGCTGGACTGGGAGGCAAAGTTCAATGTGCGCGTGAAGGACGAGGTGGATCTGAAGGTTGCACAGGACAATACGCTGCGCGGGAAGATCAGGACGTTGGAGGAGAGGCTGGACGAGGCGCTAGAGCGGGGCAGAGAGGTCGAGGAGGAGTGCGATGCCTGGCACCGGCGCGCGGTGGAGCTGGAGAGTGTGAATAGGGCGCTGGAGGTGCGGGTTGAGGCGCTAGGCAGCATGTTGGCAGAGGCGACGAGGGGAGAGCGCGGCTTGAGTAGGAGCAGGAGCAGGGTGGGACGGAGTAGGTGCGGGAGTGAGGTTGATGGTGCGGCGGGCATGGAGCGGTGCGTGACGATTGGGACAGCCACCGATACCAATACGACGACGCCAGCGGAAAGCAGGCGGGGGAGTGTCGACGGCGGTACGTCTACTACGTCGCCCGGCAGCTCGCCGGGGAGGAGACTGGAGGACTATGGCATCACGGACCCGATCGATGCGGTCCTGCTCACAATGACCTCGTCCTCTCCGCCGTCGCCGGGCGAACCGTTGCGCACTCGCCGCATGCGCCGGTTCCCATCCGGCTCCACTGCACCAAAGGCACTCGTCCTGCCGCCGTCCTCGTCAGCGACGCCTGCGCCAGAAACATCACCGACGCTTCCAACGCTGCGCACGTTCTTCAACATGCCCATCGCCGACCCGTCCAGCATGTGCTCCTCGCGGCCATCAAGCTCCTCCTCCGACGCACCAGTCCCGCAGCAGCCCTCAGCAGCCCGCCCGCCCCTCGCATCGTCAGACAGCCTCTTCGCCGAGCTTGCCCGCGCAGAGAACGAGTCCGTTGCAGACGAGACCTCGCCCAGCGACGACACATTCGCGCTTGTATCAGACGCTATGAACAACCCCACCCCGCTGCTCATCAAGGCTGTCAGCATGGTCGGCGCTGGCATCCGCTCCCCGACAGGCACGTTCCTGACGGCCAGAAAAACGGCAATGGACATGCTCACCGGCGTCGTCGGCAAGGGCGTCGAGCGCGTCTCCCGCCGCCGCGCAAAGCTGCTCCAACACAAGTCTCGCGAAGCGCGGCGGCGCATCGAGGGCGTCGCTGAAGACCGGGACCGCGTGCGGCGGTGCGCATCATGCACTGACCGCGGCGGCGGTGGCAGCAGCGGGGTGAGTGTTGCGCTGACGCGGGGCGCGGGCGGCGAGGATGCGGTGGAGCATGTGTGGCTGTGGGTGCGGTTTGTGGTTGCGCTTGTTGTTGCGCTGGGGGTGGCGGTGAAGGAGGGGCCGGCGGTGGTGCTGGCGGTGGACGGCGGGGATTATGATGGGGTTGTGGAGGAGGAGAGGGAGTGTGCGATTAGGGAGTTGAGGGAGACGAGGGCGGAGAGGATGAGGAGGGAGTGGAGGGGGATGGGGGATGAGCGGTTGAGGCTGTGGGAGGGCGGTGGGAGGGGCGGCGTGCATGTGGGGGATGGGAGGAGGAAGGCGATGGAGTGGGGGGTGTAAGGGGGAGGAGAGGGGGGAGATGGAGGTTATGTGTAATGATTGGTGCTCCTTTTTGTTGATTCTTTCTTTGTCTTCTTTCTGTGACTTGCTGTGCTGCTTGCTCTTCTTCTTCTTCTTCTTCTTCTTCGCGGACATATATTGCTCTTCCTTAAGCTTTAAACCTATTACTCCCGTTATCTTTGCTTTCTTGCTTTCTTTCTTGCCTTTTTTTTATCACCATTAACGAAACCAACTAAACTAGGGAACAACTACTCTCAACTAAAACAGCTAGATAGATAGTAACTATACTTGGGCTATCTAGATATTGTACCTCGCTCTGCTTTGCTTTGCTTTGCATATATATTCTCCTTGCGTTCCTTTCTTTGCTTTGATTTGAGCTCTCTTTTGTTTTTTGTTTTTTTGATTTTTTCTGTGCTTGAATTCTGTGACCTTTTTTTTTTTGGAGGAGTTATCGTGCTGGGTTGTTGGTTATGGGGGCTAGGTAAATATATAGTCTCTGGCGGGGTCGGGGGTTGAAATAGACCTCGTTACTGGCCAGGCCTATACTTCATCTGTGGGCTTAGTTCTCCGTAGAAACGTAGGACGGTGAGCGAGACGCTGTGGTCCAACTCTGCAGCATACGAGGTTACAAATGTCCGAGTGACATCCCATGACGCACACATCCGCCGACATTAGCTAGACAACAATAGTAGCGGCCCGCCATAACACATAAGGCTAGTCCCACCCACCCACTACACATAATAGCGCGAGCAGGTGGAGTAAGTGCTAGCGGGGGCTAACTCCCCGCGGTGGCCCCGCTTTCTCGTCCTCATATCATCACGACACGGCGTGGTGTTGGCATGGCGCTGATCCTTTTTTTCACTACTATATTATGGGGTCTCGATTCACAGGTATATATATGTGTGTGTGGACTTACTCTGCCACACCTAACCGCATCCAACCCTGTCTGTCCTGGGCTATGGGGATACGTCTTCCCCACCGGCCTTCTCGTCCTCGTCGCGGTGTTGACACAGCACTAATTTTTGTCTTTGTTTGGTTGTGATTTTGGTTGGACTCTCGATTACAAGAACTACATCCACTCTACGGCACCACTTACACACTCACCAAAGCACATCGAGCATCATCAACTCAAAGCTTTCCAGTGCAGTGCAATAAAGACAAGAATCATCCACTACTACCACGTCTTCAGCGGTTTCGACACAGCACTGATTTCGTCCGTCTCCCTCGATCTAATTCTGAATATCTTGGGCTCCATACATGTAAGTACCTTATACTACCCCATTATCCCACCTACCTACCGAATCTTCTGTTATGTCAGACGCTAGCTATCCTTCTTGGTTTGTAGTGGTGTAAATTGGGGAAGAATGGGTAGCGCTTGACAACTAAAAAATAAAAAAAAATATGCAAGTATATTATACTACACCACAGCAAGAGAGATAGCACCAGAACCTTCTTATCCTAAAAGATATGAGACTTCTCGGCTGGTCTTTATACGGCCGCCAACTGCGCTTATATTCCTCTCTAGGTAAGATTTCGGGGGGTTTTCAATTCATAACTACTATCACTCGAGGACGCCGCTAGGGCGGTGCTGGAAACCCTAACCCTGTGGTGTCCACGGTTCTCTTGGTAGGTTCACTCAAGTATACCGCAGGACTATCTGCCAGGGCATAAAGGTCTCAATATCAAGAGACGCCGGGGTTGGTCTGCCGCACACTATCACAATGCGCTCTGGTATACCGGGACTCCTCTTCGGCCCTGTTCTTCTCTCTGAAAAACCTACAAAAAAAAAAAAGGAAGAGAGGAAAAAAAAGAAGAAAAAACAGCACTAAGGAGGGTCTACAACGAAAACCAGAGGGCGAAGCTGGGCAGGGCAGCCCCAAAGCGCTATATACTCTACTCTTCCGCGGGGGCAGTGAAACGAAAAGGTTGGGCAAATACTGCACAAAGATAAAAAAGAGAAGAGGAAAAAAACGTCTCAGCAGGTGAGTTGATGCAAACAGGCGAGTGACTACTCATGATGCAGCGCCTAAACTACTTGGCCCTGGTGTTACAACTCTCTGTAAATAAAGAAACAAAACAGCTCCAGAGAGAGGAGTGCGCTCGCCGCTCAACTGGATGGTTGTTTTCCAACCAGGTCTTGGGCTGGTCTTGTGAGAAGGGATACAGGTAGGTCATGTACTGTATACAAAAGGGCTGTTATGCATGAAATTTTCTGGACCGGGCATCACTGGCTCAATCTCGGCTTACTCGGCCCGTGATATTATCACGATCTTTCACCAAATTCCAGAGATATCATTTCTTAAAGTAGGTGAATTGCGTCTAAGGGGCCCAATACTTGCCTACCAGCATGAAGAATCGGGAGATGCGGTTGCTAAAAGTCGAGGATTATTTATGTGACCAAACTCTTCATGCAAATAATCCTTGGCTGCCTGTTACTCGGTTTTCTGGTTCTTATGCTGGTATGCGAGTATCACAGGCCGGAAATTATTCTGTTGGAATAGGCAGCTGCAGTTTTCAGGTAGGTGCCGAATTGTCGGATAGCACTTCCTCATAGCGGAGTGGAATTTGGCCAGCACTCTACAGAGCTAGTGGTTATACCATTGGAAGAACTCCTGTGAGTTGATACAAACCCAAGAAGAGATGTTGAGATAAGCCTTCCGACATAACCAGGCCTTTCACTAGGATCTGGACATCCCGGATCGGGTAAGAACATCTACCCTCCTATGACGAAAGGGTAAGGCTCCTAGGGCTTGAGGATATTTGTCCCCTACCAAATATTACGGGATTGGAAGGGAAAGCGACTAGAAAATTCGTTGGAGGTTTTGTGCCAAGCTTGAAACTCGGAATACATACGGTAGGTGGAGACCCAGATCATGGCTGGTCACTCGATTATCTCGAAAATGCTCAAGCCTGGGATCGATTGAGTCGTTCGGATGAGTATTACAGAGGTTTTGCAACCCAAACGATTACTCCAAGCTGTTTCTACTACTCGCCTACCAGCATAGGAACCGGATAACGCGCTTACTAAAAGTCGAGGATTATTTGGATGGGAAGAACTGTGCCACTCCATATGGATAATTCTTGACTGCTTGTCACTCGTGTTTTCTAGTTCTTATATGCTGGTAGGCGAGTAGAGCGCTTATTGATGCTACCAAAGGTATCGCGTTTGTCTCTAGGCACGTATGGCTCGAGACTTGATACGGGTAGGTATGTATATCCCTTGGCCAGTCCAAATCGAAATCGTGACCGAACCAGATATGGCTGGGGTGTACTCAGTTGAACGTAATTACTGTTCATTCTCTCCCTGTCCCTAGTGGAAAAGGTGGAGCATTCTAGCGTGTGAGAAGAAACTCGAGGACAGAACAAACAGGAACTGCGTTTATCAGAGCATAACTACCATATCTGGTTCGGTCACGATTTCGATTAGGACTGGCCGCCTAAGGGATAGCCTGTGGTGTAAGGAATTCTTACTGGTTAGAATACAGAAAGGTAGGTCGAAAGTCTAGTCCCCAGATCTAGAGTAAAATTGGTAGCGTTTTATTTTTCTTCGCCACAGGATACACACCCGCCTACTCTGTATGGATACATGATGCCTCTCCCGTTCCCAAAAGGCGAGGCTTGTGTCCATATTTGGGGTGGTCTGTGGAGCACGGGCATGAACCATCAGAAACACTGTTCACACAGATTGAGCGCGGATTAATTCTTCACCGGCTTCGTGCAGTACCAAAAGTCCATATGGTTTCTCGTGCTATGTTAGCGGCTTATTCTACTTACACATTTTTTTATTGGACGAAATAGGTGAGCTTAGACGTTCCAATAGAACACTTGAGATGTCCTACCGTCGGCCTATGGAGCGGTAAATGTGTCAAAAGTGATTTTACCAACGGTTGATAGGTTATTTACCACCGGTGGTATAAGTACTGAATTTCAGTCCTTGTGCCAGTATAAACACTGAATTTCAATCTTTATGCTGCGCTATACTTCATTAGTAGATGTTCAATCATTAATGCCAACACTTATGAAAGCTTCCCACCGGTGGTGAAATACCTGCCATTGGTGGTAACATACCTGTCACCAATGGTGAAATTCACCACCAGTGGACAATAGGACTCATACATTGGCATTATATAGCCCCTTTTGGTCAAAAGGTCTGTACTTTTATCCATTATAAGGTATAAATGATGGCACTATTTTCACCACCGGTGGTATAAGCACTGAATTTCAGTCTTTGTATCACGCTATACCACATTAGTTCATTTCCCACCGGTAGGATCCCCTGGGCCGGTGAGACACGCAGATTCCAGGACTTCCTATCTCAGTAGTGATTTCCAGTGGCAAAGTCACTGAGCCTGATGCTTAATCACTAAGCCACGCTCTATCATTCGAGGAAACGTGACTTGGCTTTGCTTTAATAGGAAGTCCTGGAATCTGCGTGTCTCACCGGCCCAGGGGATAAACACTGAATTTCAGTCTTTATATATATGCTGTGCTATACTACATTAGTAAATGTTCAATCATCAAGGACAAAACTTATGATACCTGCGATATACCTGCCGCTGGTGGTGGGATTCCCCACCGGTAGACAATGTTTATATATATTGGCATTATATGGCCCCTTTTGGCCAAAAGATCTGTACTTTTATCATAAAAATTGGTATTATAAGGCATAGATGGTGATATTATTTTCACCACCGGTGGCAAAATAATTTACTACCGTTGGTAAAATTACTTTTGACACATTTACCGCGCCATAGGCTGTCGACTTGTTGGCAGGGTTACGTTTTCGTGGATTCATAAACCACATATATATGCTTTTTATTAAGGATCTGCGGGCCGATAAAAGGTGGGTAATAAACTCGCCACACTTCTCTAACTCTCCAAAGGAGAGCGCGGGTGAACTTATGGTCACTGCGGGCCGAGGCTGGGTGTGAGAGTCCCCATAGAGCACGTGGAAGCAATACTCAATGGCCATCGAAGCAGTTTCCATACGCCGCCGCCGCTGCTATCAATGGTAGGGCTCTGCGCCGCGTTTTATTCTATCCGCCCCTCACAGAACTAAAGGGTGGCGCGATCCAGAGCATGGCAACTTCAGTTGTGGAGAACACCGGAGTTAGGCCTCGCCCGCCAGTATAGAAAAGCTCGGACCTCCATACGTCCCCAACTGCCTGTTGGTGGCTTCACCGGCGAAATGGACGCTGGTAAGGAGATAGACGTCCCATGCATTAGTGCATGCAACATAAGGAGGGTGGTTGGAGTCACAACGTATCACTCGCCCCCAATCTACAAACAACCCATACTTTATATAGATGAGGTGAAATACTTGTAGTGGGGGCATACGTACGCAAGTGGGGAAAAGTGAAAAGTGGAGTGGGGAGCGCATGCACATATTCTTGTCCTGTGAGATTGGCACCGCTGGATGATCGTGGGATATCCGTCTGTCCAGGAGCTTGGCATTTATGGGAGCGGAGACTTCCATTGACTGGGTGCGGTTAGTAGGACTTCTCCGCACTACTTAGAGATAGGGTCGATTTGGCCCAATGATCTATTGAGAAGGTTGGCATCTTCGATCTAACAAAGATATCTCTGGCCAATGGGACATTCAGCTTTTTAGTAGGATATAGGAGGCCCGTATTACCCGCGAGATCTAATAACGAGCTAGCTGCTATACAGGCAGGAGAGGGACATTAAGTACCCAGCGTATGTACCTATACCGTCACTCTTGAAAGCTCGACGGAAAACAAATATTCCCGCGTTTCAGCAATACCCAAGTGGACTCTTGGATTAATAGTGCCCCTATAAAACAAGATTTTTTTTTGATAACGCAGTACTAGCAAAGACCCGCTGGTGCGGAACAGATGTGGAGGGGAGGCGTGAGCTTGGGCCCTATGAGCTGGTCGAGCTTCACTTAGGCCTAGCTTCACAAGTGGATGGAACTCATCTTGATTTTATCCAGCCCAGCTGAGCCCTCTACGTACAGCCAGCCAGTCAGAATGTGATATTTGAATTTGTAATGAAACCTTCTCCCTTGCTTGCTGATGTTCCTGGCAAATCCGGGAGACGTGGAGTGGAGTGGGATTAACATTTATAATTTAAGATTAAGCTTAACAGGAAACGAGTTTAGTGTAACTGAACCCCCCACCCCCCTGAGCCCTGAGCCAGACTATCACTATCACGTATCAAAGTGATCAGCTACGTGTGTTTTGTTCCCAAAGACGGGGAACAATTATCAATTACGAAGCTCAAGAAATTCGGAACAATTGTGGCCCGTTTTGTAGCACGATGTCATATTTCAAATAGATACGTCGTAAACCTTTTTTTGACGCACACTCAAAATTCAAGTTCTCATCGTCATTGGTTCTGGATGTTTGACCAGGGTTAGGTTTTCTGCAAGCCGCCAAAGATAACAAAAATTAAACCCATTCCTGACCAACCAAGAAAGCCATAACACGATGGCGTATTTTATCCTTTTGCCCGAGAATCGTTACGCCTGTTTTTTCGAAAAGAAAAGAAAGTATCTCTAAGAAAACGATGGAGCTTATAAAGCATTTTGTTCATGAACCTCGGTCAAGCACCACAACCCCCCCTCGGTGAAGCAGCCGGTGGTGCACAACAACCCGGGGTTCTACCCGCATGACGGTTACGTATCTAACGACTGTCGATCTCGAGAATACATCTTTCCCTGTTTCGCTAGATAACTACTAACAGCGCTATCACCTCCCTTCTGGGTAGTAGGGACAAAAAAACACGCGGGAAATGATCCTTGTTTTACCCCAGATATCCAACAAGCTCTGATATGTGGGGTACTTCTGGCGTACTTTAGTTTAGTAGGAAGATACCGAAGCACAACCTGTACAGTAGAGGTAGAGTGGGTCTTGAGAAGTCGGAGAAGCCGAACCCCGCAATCGCTTATTTCCCCAGATTTTTTGGCCTTGTGAGAGAGAGCTCGGCGGCCAGCTCCTTATCGCTGGGTAGTTAACAGACAGCTACATGGAATTGTATTACCTTGAAAAAAGCTTGGCTGGTTAAATATATATCTTCCTCAACTGCCCTGTTTTTTTCCACAGAAGACAAGCAGCAGCGGCAGTAGCATTTAAATACTGTTCTGTCTATCTTGCCTCTTTCTCTTTCTTTTTAAATATCATATCATGTTTTCTAAGAAGGGAAGCACTCAAGTTCGTCCGGCGCTGCCTGACGATGGGCACCTTACCCGGGCTTCCTTTGCCCATTTGGACGAGAAGGCCATTCTGCGGAAGATGGACCTGAGGTTGATTCCTATGCTGGCATTGCTATATCTCCTCTCCTTTTTGGACAGAGGCAATATAGGTAACGCGAGGATTGAGGGATTAGTGGATGACTTAGGAATGACTGGGCCAGAGTACAACTGGACTTGTTAGTAAACTTTACGATTTTATTATTGTTCAGGGTCTAGTGGCTAACCAATAAACGACTTGACAATAGTGACAATCTTCTTCTTCTCATACTGCTTTTTCGAGGTCCCGTCGAATCTTGTGTTGAAGAAATTGAGGCCGAGTGTCTGGTTGCCCTGCATCATGGTGGCCTGGGGTCTTGTTATGACGCTCATGGGCATTGTCAAGAACTATAAGGGTCTTTTAATTGCTAGATTCTTCTTAGGCGTTGCGGAAGCTGGGTTGTTTCCCGGTGTAGCTTATGTATGTATTTCCCCTAATTTGGCCAATTGGGCTGAGTGCTGATAGATGGACATAGTACATTACTATGTGGTATTGTCGACATGAAGCACAATGGAGACAGGCTTTGTTCTTCAGTGCTGCCAGCGTTGCTGGTGCATTTTCGGGGCTTTTGGCATTCGGGATTGCAAAGATGGATGGTGTCGGAGGTCTCGAGGGCTGGAGGTGGATGTAAGCATTTGAAACCTAACCATCATTGAGGATTGTCCACGTACTTACTGTACTCCTAGCTTCATCCTCGAAGGGCTTCTCACAGTTGTCGTCGCATTCGCAGCCTTCTACTTCCTTTACGATTTCCCAGAAACCGCTTCATTCTTGACGGAGGAGGAGAGGAAGTTCGTTGTTTGGCGTCTACGGTACCAAGGCTCCGTTGATGTGAGGGAATCAGCAGCTGTCGTCACAGACGAGAAGGTTGAAACAGCAATGGTTGAGGATATCCGCTCAAACACGAAGAATGCGCCTGCTGTTGCAGAAGTAGAGGAGTTTGAGTGGAAGTATGTCCTGGACGCCTTCAGTGATTGGCAGATTTGGGTGAACATTTTTGTAAGAGCTCCTCCATCAGGTGCGCATGTGTTCAGGAACTAATTCTGTGTGTAATTCAAGGTTTATTGGGGAATTGTTTGTCCTCTGTACGGTATCAGCTTGTTTCTTCCCAGCATCATCAAGAACTTAGGCTATTCGTCTTCCAAGGCTCAACTACTCACTGTGTTTGTACCCTCTCACTTTGACATTCTAGACGAACTCGATTTGCTAACCTTGTTGGTAGTCCCATCTACATCACTGCGTCGATTCTTTCCGTCATCACAGCTTGGGTCAGTGACAACAGAGGGATCAGATCGCCTTTCGTCTTTGGGGGACTTTGTCTTACAGCCATTGGGTTTATCATCGCCATCTCCGCACCACCAAGTGTCCCAGGACTGGTCTACGCGGGTGTTTTCATCGCCACTTGTGGTATCTACCCAGCATTGTAAGTCCCATTCTCCACCAGCAAATGTTAGAATTTAAACTAACCGCCGACAGCCCCGGAAATATCACTTGGCTATCAAACAATTTGTCTGGCTCCCTGAAACGATCTGCCGGAATGGCGATTCAGATCGCAGTTGGAAACCTTGGTGGCGCCATGGCGTCAAACTTTTATAGGAGCAATGACGCGCCTAGGTACACCCTGGGACATGCGTTGGAGCTTGGATTTATCGGGGCCGGTTTGATTGCTGTGGGCATCTTGTTCTTTGGATACAAGAGGATCAATGCCAAACGGGAACGAATTGGTGATGATCATGGGCTGACAGTCCAGGAGATGGCTAGACTGGGCGACAAGTCACCCGGATTTAGATATGTGCTGTGAGCTGTACAATACCACAAGGCCTTCTTTTTGTTTTTTACATGGTCAGATTTTATTAGATGAACCAACGATTTATAATTTTTCAATACCTCTTCGGAGAAATATTTAATCCCAGCGTTCCCTGTCAAGTGATATGTCAAAGCACCCACCCCAATCTTTGGTGGGGGGTGGAAGCTCTCAAGCTACTACGTACCTAAGCCCAGTTCAAAAATGGACCGGGGAATATTCGAATTCTCGACACGGGCCTTCTTTTGTAGATTAAACTTGATAATCTGGAAGGCTGCAATTTCTGCCCTTGTACCTAAGATCTTCAGCCTTATAATATGTACGCACACTCACGTCACCCAGAACAGATATTTTGGCGAAGATGGTGCGGCAAATATGCCGATTGGTGAGTGATCTCTGATGACTCAAACAATTCCGGTTCACAAGAACATCTAGATAGTAGTTGATCCTGCGACATTCAACCAATATTCGTTCCATACCATATAATTTCCGAAATCAGGATTCCCTCTCTGGAGGAAGTACCAACGGATGGTGGACTGCGCATATTGCTGCATATATAGCTATGCACACGACACTAGCTAGCCTATCCAATGTTCGGCGAAAGAAGGGAATCTAGGCTGCTCCTTTGAATCCTTTCGTGTGTCCAACTCACTATCTTCTAGCATACATGCCGTCGGTATGTACTCCTAGAGTGGAGTAAATCTAGACTGTGGGGACAGCATCTGTAACAGTTCTCTAGGGACACTCTTACCCCTACATCCGAAGTACATAGAGTACTAGTCTAGTAATCCCTGCTATCATTCTCATTTCGACCAATCGATTACTCCTCGTTCCAAAAAACCACTTTTTAGACCGTGCATCATGATTATAGGCACATGATACTTACCTAATTCAGTTGGTGGGGAACGGGGGAGGTGGGGCAAGCCTCTTATCAAGTTTTGAAACTTGGGCTAGATCGAGGCCTGCAAGCTGCAGATATAGCCGGGAAATAGAGTATCTGTATGCAACATATATAATCTTTTGGACTTTCTGATATCGTGGATAACCAATCAATCGACTAGTAACGAGCAACCGTCAACCAGCTAAGGTACGTATACGAGGTGAGCTCGAACCCGGTTTTTGGAGGATGATAGCTGTCTAAAAAATCGCAAAAATCTCGTTAATAAACGGGTACGTGCGGCTGCCTGCGGCCATTATCTTAAGAAAGATTAATGACGCGCTGGGTATGTAGAAAGCAAATTTAGGAGGTCGTGAGAGTGGAAAACCTTGCCGGGTTCAGCACAGCAGTAATCGGGGGATGAAAACGAGTCCGAGAACACTATTATTGATGATGCCTTCTGATTTGTCCTCATCTGCGAATTAACGAAACTCTGCTGTCAAGGCACGTGTCTTCGATATAGGTTCCTCATGCTTACCTTAAGCATTTGCATAAACTTTTGACATGGTGAAACCACCTGGTAGGTAGATAACTGGACCCGTGTATATAATCGCTCTCAACCCTAGTTAGCACGTTTATTACTTTGTACAATCGCTATCGAGATCCGAGACGTTATCGAGATTCTCAAAACAATTATCACTGGACAGAATCAGGGTGAGGCGTAATTGGTTAGCTGACATGACATCTAGATGCATACGAGGAGAGTGGTGACAACAAATTAACTTTCGCTAACTAGGTAGTACTAAACAAGCGCTATGGCCATGTGAAGCGCCTATCAGACATTCAGTGAGGGCCAGCACCACTATTGACAGGGATCTGGGTTAGTGTTTATTTGCACTTCAGTGATAAGTAAGCTACAAATTAAGCATCGACACAAATTCTCCCCGTTAAAATTTAATCCTATATAAAATGATATCCGGTTCTTCAAGCTAGGGCCAATCATCATATCTAAATACATACTTCTCGATCTGATGTGTACTTGAGCTACAGCAATGTAGTTTTGCGGCAGGTATTACCCAAAACATTAATTACTATTCGAGTTTCTTTATGTTATGGGGGTTTAATTCTACTCACTACATAGCTATACCTAGCTGAGCTGTCGGGTTGCGGCTTTTTCAAGGACGTTCCTAGTCTGTAGCGTTAATAATTAGGATTGGCTGGAGATAATCTAGACATTTGCATTGGATACTAGGCTCGGGTTTTTGTATCCCAACTCCCCGGTGAATGGGGTGATATATTTGATGGTGAGATGTGATAGGAAATGAGGCGTCCATCCGGCAGATGTACTTACAAACATAGATGGTTTTGGCTGGGGTTGGTTCTAGATCGTGTTAATGAAAAAAGTAATTGTTGTTTCATGATCATCTACTCGTAGTTTTTTGGCGTTTCCGGACGAAACTGCTATTGCATGCCATACAAAAGATAGCCTTGGCGAGCTTTTTCTGTGTATGCAATAGCAGTTGCGTCCGGAAACGCCAAAAAACTACGAGTAGTTTGCTATAGCTAGACTTTGCTAGGATGTATGTGCATTATAAGGTGTCACAATGGATCACTCGCTGATCTAATTAGCCCATGTTCTGAGGATATTTTGCTATGTTCGCTCCAGATCTGTTGATGAAAACTATATGTAGAATGTATTATCAGAGGCATTGTTGCAGAAATCAGTAATAACTTGAAACCGAATTATTCGAATATACTTAAGTTGTTGTGTGCACACCCTTTCTGTATCCTACTATTGGTATAGGAATTGAGTATTATGTACTGGTTAGAGATCCAAAAAGGGAGTGGAAATCCTGATCCCTTTCTCAATAACTAACATTGTAGAGAACGATTGAGCTTCGGATCCTTCAAACTTCCCCGTGCGAAACCTCAGGCTCGCTTGCTGACCAGTTTGGCAGTGAAATCCGATCACAAACTGCGTCTTAGATTCTTCAGCTTGGTAATTTTCTATCCAGTTCAACGGCTAGGTGGTTGATTCTTAATTGTTTAATGGCCGCCTAACACTCAGTCAATAAAAGGTTTGATATTGATAACTAGTACTACAGTATAAATTTACTCCTCAGAGCTTTGGTCGAGTGTAATTGGCACACGTCGTTGTGGCCAAGCTAGCTCGCCAGCTTCCGGACCAAGCCAATGATTCCTCGTGATTTCTCCGTTGTGCATGAGCCAGTTACAGGGACTCGGGGTTTTCCTCTTCTTTTTTTTTTTTTTGACCGGCCTATTATTGCTTTTTGGAATGTCTGCCTTAACTGCCGTGAACTGGAGTGGGGGGTTACTCATGATTCTAACCCGATCCTCAGAGTTGTATTCAATAACATGATGGGCTTTCGATTTGAACGAAACGAATGTTTATATAGCAATTCTTCATTAACTGAAAATAAGTCCCGGGGAGCGATGAGATCCCGGGCATTGCTTATTGCAATGGCGGTCGAAATGCGGTGCATCACACATGACCTGTATGCAATGTCGATGATGCATGATAATTCGATCACCCGTTACTCGAAAGAAATTTTCTTGCCTACATGTGCATGTACCTACATTATACATGGCCCGTGTGTTCCTGAGGTGACCATTTAACACTCAGTTTTTCCGTGATGAATGTCTTCCTTGGTATTTCGATTGCTTAAACGCCACTCATCAACTTCTAGCGTATAATTTGGTTTCTTATCAATGTTATGCTATGTGCCTATTTCCTATTGATGCGGATTTGAGGTGAACATCCGAGAAGTCTCACTACAATAGTTGAAAACTTTGGTACTGAACGACACACCGACTATATCAAGAATAGGGACTTGATGTAGGCGCTCAACTTTGACTCAGTCCCAAACCTACAACGCAGGTGCATTATATACATAGCTACTATGGAGCGCGATGGGCGGGGAATTCCGTTAGAATTTCCTTGCAGCTACCTAGTTAGATCTTCTCAGATACCTAGAGCTCTATGTTATGTGTGAACTGTTTGGAGCGCAAATCAATTGAGCTAGCTAGACGAGACCCAGTCCTCAGTATTGCCTAGCACGCATAAGATGAGGCAAGAATAGAGTATAGATTATCGCGATTAGCGTGATATTTCATACATGTAGAGTACGTACCGCATGGTTGTTACAATAAGCACTCGGATGCAGTTAGTAAAACCTTCTCGGTCCGCCCCAGGAACTACCCTAACCCTATAAGTGGTATGCTGTCAGGTAAACAAACTTTTACAATGACACAAGCAAAATACTCTAGAAGGCACGTTGATTGGACAACAATACCCCCACATTTCCGCCCCATCTTTGATTGACTTTATTATATTATACTCCATTATACACTATTCTGTCTTATCCTATTCTATGAAGTGGAGCCCACTACAGGCCTTGATGATTTTGATGCTATTGCTTTGAACACGGCGCACTACTCCCCGAATCCGCGAGGATTGATATATGCCGAGTGGTGCAAAAATTGAACAAGGAATATGACGTTTATCTCGATGTTACACTCGGTAGAAACCAGTTTAGCAGAAGCAGCCAGATGCAAGGCTTTTGACCCTTGATTCAGAGTAGTGAGAGTGGGTGATGAACACCATTTGCAGTCACGGTACTGGTCGACATTCCAGAGTACCTACATTCAAAGGTGTCATTTTGATGCATGTCATAATGCCCATGGCAGCAGCAACAGTTAACAGGCAGGAAGTCCGAACCCCAAGATGGAAACCGGAACCCCCGCATGCTACCGGCAGTACTTTAAAGATCAACAGCTTATCCTTTGGATGTTCAGGTAGCTTATGACGGGGTATAACTATCCCCCTCAAAACAAAACATAGTGGGTCCAGCACCAGGGATTGATTAATTGCTTGTTCAATCCGGGTAGACAAACCTGCGGCTGTTGCTACCGGCACCGATAGTACCTAACTAGTTCGATGATCGAGAATAGGATGGGCGACACTTTTTATGCTAAATTGAAGTCTCTGGATTATCAGACGTCAGATTTAGGCACTCCAAGATTTATTCACTAACAATGCTCTATACACCCGCGTGAAACCTAGCGGATTATGACTTTGGATTATTGCTCCAGAGGTGACAGGCATCTCTGGTGAAGACCATTTCACGACAAAAAAGAAACTCAACGTATTCAGCTCCGGTTCCTCAAAGAAATATCAGCTGACATGCGGATTTGCTAGGATATGCTAGGATCGTAGGAATTTCGGTCCTTGGTTCCACCGCCTTGCAGATGTGTGTACAGGCCCTATAAGTTCGCAAACTATTCTTAACATTGCCGGATCGGAAACACTCCCCACTCGAGAACTTCAACAACTCTTTCTGCGTTCGGACATCTTCATGCGCTAATAAGCCCTTTGGTTTTCCCTCAATAATATGATATCATTTCTTTCAAGGTTGGTGGGGTTAGGGTTATAACTACTCTTTTCCAATACTACGATCAACAAAAATTGCAACAATTGACGTCCCAAATGCGATGCACTGTGGTTTGTACAAGTATCTATACCTTTCAAATAGTAATCTGCATACAGTACGTATACATGCTCTGTTTGAGAGGATAACTCGGAAGCAAAGCGCTACATACACATTGCCTATCATATTCTGTCCTGAGCGGCAAATTCTACAACTTGAAAAGCTATTGTTTGTAACCATGGCTTTATGAATGTTGATTGGCCCGCTCAGAACTATAACTGAATTGATTGGCATACATGTAGTTGGGACATCTAGAACAGGTTAACAGCCATGTACCTACATTTATGCAATTAAGTTTCGCAGCCGAGAGTAAGAAGTGCCCGAGAGTATGTACCTATATGTGCCTTCTCTACTTAGATGCTGAAGTGATCAACTCTATTGAGTATGAGCATACGTCAGGTCTACACTGAAGAGTTTACTTTCTTAGAATTCAAAACCATGTTTAGAATCATGCCGACTGAATTTGAAACGGCTCGAATGCATCGAAAACTGCTCTATTCTACTAGAAAATCACAGAAGTGTGGGGTCTGCAGTAGCCGCAGATACGGGACACAGGGTTACCTATCCGTTGTACTCTAGGTACCTAGTCACTGTGCTTGATTGGATCCATCGGCCGAATTAGAGAAAACTAGACCCGTTGGCCTTCCAAAGTCTGCAACTGGGCCAGTCCAGTTAGGTACGCTGTCCCCTATTTCTCCTTCGGTGACCAGGTCCTACGCTCTCTCTTGCATAATGGCCTCGGGATGGGTTGAGGCACAGCAATGGCAATACTAGGTGCTATAGGTACTTCATAAGAGCCAATCCGAGTATAATAACCTCCATCTTCTGCATCTATCTACATGTCTACCTTAAGGAAAATTTTTATATACAGCCATAGCCAGTAGCCTGTCCCAAGAACTTGGGACGGTTTCACAAAAACTCTACATCGTACGTATGTACCTACTACGCCTTGAAATCTTGAAAGAAGAGTAATAACGAAAATAATTACACTGTCAAATGGTTTTGTGAGGAAGTCTTATTGATACATATCAAGTGAACGTGATCAGTGCATTGAACACATAAATCCCCTTGTCAGTCTATGTCCAATACATGGCTCCCAAGAAGGTTATACCCCCACACGGATGTACCTTCAGGGATCTATATCTATTGGTTGCATAAGGGCTAGATCCAAAACCCCACCATCCATACAGTACATACATCTTCGCGTGAACGGATAGACTTCCGGCCCTGGGGCTAACGCAGAACCCTCCTCATCCAAATCTTTCACACGCTTTTCGAAGGAAAAAACTAGAGTGACATTTACAAATTCTTGATCACCGTAATAGGTGACAACGTGTTACTATGTTCAAACACAAACTACGCTTACCCCTACTAGAGCTGTTAGGTTGTAGTGAGTTTTCTAGACACCACCACCACCATTATCCTTGAGCTCCACGGGGTACATATATCTTGTCCGTGAGTCCCCGTCAATTCAAACAGGCAGCCTCAAGATACTCATCAGCACCATTCTTGAAGAAGCCCTATACATACATCAATCAGCAAGAAATTTAAATCTGTTATCAACAATCAGAACCGAAAGCAAAATGCATCTCCCAATAGATATGAAAACTTGGGTTGATGAAAAGCTCTCAAAGCTTACCATTGAAGAAAAATCTCTCTTGCTTTCAGGCGTGGACCTGTGGAGGACATACCCTGTTCCCCGCCTAGGAATTCCCCAGTTGAAGGTTAGCTTCACACCAGGAACCCTTATAGTCAATTCTTACAACGCTAATATTATTCATTTCAGACTACGGATGGCCCTGTCGGTGCCCGGGGAGGTACTATGGTCGATGGAACTACTGCGGCATTAACACCAAGCGCAGTATCCCTTGCCGCTACTTGGGATGTCGATATCATCGCCGGTATTGGCGAGCTTCTTGCTACTGAGGTTCGGGACAAGAAGTCAGATATCCTACTAGCACCTACTGGTAAGATATAGCACCTTTGTTAGACACTTGTCTTTTGAAGTATTCAAGTTAAACCAACTCACCATTAAGTTTGCTTACATCGTTCGCCGCTCGGCGGTCGAAATTTCGAATCCTTCTCCGGGGATGACCCGTTCCTTGGAGGAAAGCTCGCTGCTGCCTACATCAATGCCGTCCAATCCCATGGCATTGCAACAACAATCAAGCACTTTGCTGCCAACGACCAGGAGACCAAACGGTTCGTTGTAAACCAAATTATGACTGATCGATGCCTCCGAGAACTTCATCTGGTACCTTTCCAGATTGCGCTCCGCGATTCAAAACCAATGTGTGTAATGGCGAGTTACTCAAAGATCAACGGCGTATATGCCAGCAACAACAGGGCTTTATTGACTGGAATTCTACGAGAGGAGTGGGGTTTTGATGGTGTGGTTATGAGTGATTGGTTTGGTATGAACAGTATCGTCCCAAGTGTCGAGGCAGGCCTAGACTTGGAAATGCCGGGCCCTGCCCGGAAGAGGGGAAAGAACCTAGTCGATGCAGTTAAGAAAGGCTATATGAAGGAGTCGACTTTGGATATCAACGTACGGAGGATCTTGGAATTGGTAATTAAAATTTCCTTACTATTATTATCATCATTATTACCCCTGCGCATTGATCTTATTGGTGATCTACCTATACTAACTAAGCTTAAATCTATTCAGATCTACAAGACCGGAAAATATAAGAACCCAGACTGGGTCGAGGAGCAAGAAGAAGCGATCAACCGACCAGAACATCAAAAGTTTCTCCGAAGAGCTGCATCTGAGGGAATCGTTCTTCTCAAAAACGAGAAAAAATTATTGCCGCTTTCATTAGGAACGACAAAACAAATCGCATTTATCGGCCCAAATGCTAAGGAGTCAGTGGCTGCCGGTGGAGGGTGAGTCAATATTTGCTTTTTGCCCCTTCCAACTCTGGAAGGTCACCTTTTTGCACTTCAATGAAATATCTCGTGCAACTGTTTCGTCAATGAAATTGCTAACTAAAAGATCACAGATCCGCTTCATTAAACCCCCACTATCGTCAAACGCCTTTGGACTCATTTGTCAAAAACGCCTCCGCTAAATATCCCAACTTGAAGGTCAAATACGCTAAAGGCTGTCTTGCACACAAATGGATTCCATTGTTCCCAGAGACTTGTGTTTCACCAAAGAATGGCGAACATGGCATGCACATGGAATACTTTGACAACATGCTCCACCGAGGACTACCAGTCCATGCCGCACACCGGAAGAGCACATTGCTCTCGTGCTATGACAATCTACCAAAGTCATTTGTGCCGGGAAAGAGATATTCTTACCGCGCAGTCGGGCTTCTGACACCTAAAACATCAGGACGACATGTATTCAGCATGGGCACATGCGGCCCTGGGCGTCTCTTGGTTGACGGGAAAGAACTCATCAACATCTGGGATCGTACAAAGGAGTCGGAAAGGTCTGAGATGTTTATGGCCTATGCCTCTCCGGAAAAGCGCTGTGAACTCGACATGGTTGCTGGTAGGACATATAATGTCACTGTCGAAGGGGTTTCACGTGAGCTAGATCCAATTCCAGTTCACTACACCGATGAACTTTATAGGGATGAGGTGATGGACGGTTCACGGGTCGGTTTCATGGAAGAAGTCAAGGAGGACTTGATGGGAGAGGCCATCCAGCTAGCCCGCGAATCGGATATTGTTGTATATGTTGGAGGGAAAAACATCGAATGGGAGAGCGAGGCTTACGATATGAAATCTATGGATTTGCCCGGCCCCCAAAACGATCTTATTGCCAAGATCCTCGAAGTTAATCCTAATACGATCATTGTCAACCAGTCTGGATCTCCAATCACTATGCCCTGGATCAATGAGGCCTCTACTGTGCTTCAAGCATGGTACCAAGGTCAGGAGCTCGGAAACTCCCTCTATGATGTATTGGTTGGTCACATTTCGCCATGCGGAAAGCTCCCTGTTACATTCCCTCGCCGGCTTGAAGACACACCTACTTTCCACAACTTCCCGGGGGAAAATGAAAAGGTTATATATGGTGAGGGTATTTGGTTAGGATACCGCCATTACGAGAGAGCTAAGGTCCAGCCTCTGTTCCCCTTCGGATTCGGTCTTTCGTACACAACCTTTGAGTACAAGAACACCCGTCTTTCCGGCGATGTCCTTAGAGACACGCTCACCGTATCGGTGGATATCACAAACACCGGAAAGGTTTCCGGGAAGGAATCTGTCCAGTTTTATGTCTCTCAAACCTCGAAGACTGGACTTATTCGACCTATCAAAGAGTTGAAGGGCTTTGCTAAGGTTGACCTACGAACGGGGGAGACAAAAACGGCGAGCTATGTCCTCGACAAGTACGCTTTAGGATACTGGGACGAGAAGATGCGTTCGTGGACTGTTGATAAGGATGCAGAGTTTGAGGTGTATGCAGCTGCAAGCTCCCAGGATATAAGGGGTTCTGCGAAGTTTAGGGTAGAAGGAACCATGCAGTGGATAAACTGATATATCTGCGGGTTAAACGGAGGTTTTTGATGTCGACTATTTCTGGATTTATTTCTTTTTCCTTTTTCTTTCCCTATAAATGTATCACTCCTCGGGGAGGGCTATCTATCGGTTGGCATTGGCATTGGCATTTTTGTTTTTTTCCCCCATTTTCTTTCTTTTTTCGGACAATATATTTTTGGGTCTGCGAACGACTTTTCAGCCAATGAGTGAGATCTTGATGATAGCGCGCTTCGGTAGAAATGAATTTCAATGAACAGGGTATCGAATGCCAGTGCTTAAATGAAACCATCAACGCCGGACCCCCCTTTGTGACAAAAATGTTCAATATGAACCGCCTGACTCGTACAACACAAGATATGAAAAGACGCACCAAAAAACAAAATGGCCGATCGCGGTGACCGTTCCCCCAAAACAAATGGAATAAACAAGGTGAAAATAATATAGAAACCCGGAATGATGGTATAAACATAAATGACCTATAAATCCAACCCAGGAGGGGTGCTGTCTCCGGGACGGGGTACCGCCTGTACCGCAGCACTTAAGACTCGATTCAGTAATTGTTGGACCGTCCCTGCAACTGATATTCTACCTTCAATGCCGAGTTTTCAAGGATTTGAGCGTCTTTTCGTAATGCTGAAGAAATGGGCGCCAATGTCCGTAACCAACGTTTTGTTTTTGTGAGCAAATCACTGAGAACGTGAGGGTCAATCATGTGTTTCAGTGTAGACGACTGATATGCGGCTTGGAGAACAAGAAGATTGCCGAATTGTCTATAGTTATAACGTTAGTAGATGAACGAATATATGCCTTAAATGTAGGTCTAAATAAAGATGGAATTATTGCTTACGCATGAGCTGTGCCGAACACATTGGTTATAATAGGTCTGTTCTCCTCGGGATCGAACGCATGAAATGATGTGGTACTTTGGACTGCAGAGTCCAGGCATTTCCTGCAACTCTTCTCTAATGAAACGGGCGTATCTTCTCCCGTGGCACTTGGTCGTCTTATACTTGAAATATGATTTGGCGTGGTCGCCGAGGGGGAACCTTGTTGGGACATTTCGCTCGCAGGGGACATCGAAGAGAACGTACTACCGCCGGTACCGCCGCTCCCGTGGATTACAGAATATACAAATGGTCGATGAATTATGTACCGCGCACCCCAATACTTGGCACGTAACCTCGCCGCGTTTATATCACTTGCTGGGGGGTCGCTTTCATCCCACCGGAGTGGCTCCGGGAGATGTAGTTTCCACTGCTCAAGTTGAAAATCTAATTCCCTAGCGATTGCTAGAGATCGGGGAGAATCAAAACGATCTTTAGACTCTGTCAGGTAAAATATTAGTTTGCGTTCATATCCATTGCCTGCCAAGACTCATATATCCGGTGGATCAAAACACACCTTTGGTGTACAGCGTTGTATGCGCCCTGTTGAGCAATTTCCGCAAGGCAATCTGAGCCAAGTAATACATCCACATGAGCGGGTCATCTTCCCTTGTCTCTGAGTCATATGCCGGATGTAAGGCGATAGAACTTGGTAAAGCCATTGAATCTTCCAGCCTTGTTATTCCGCTTGGAGGAAGATCAAGTTCTGCAAGCACATCACTGAGAAATAAAAACAAATGTTAGTTTGAAGATTATATTTGCTTGAGTTATGGGATATAAACCTTTCTAGCTGCAAGCAACTCCAGAACGCACGCAAAATTAGGTCTTTACGCAAGCTATCCTTTTCGCTTTCCAATCTCCTATCATACTGTTATTATCATAGGTCAAGGGCTAGAACTTAGGCAAGTTAAACCGACTTACATTCTGACCAGGATCTGGCATCCCATGCAGGCGTAACTGATCCATTTCCAACTGTCAAGCACCCTCCCCAGCTGGCCCCAATACAACCCAGCCAAAAGGCAAACCTGAACGTTTTCAAGTTCGTTCCCTCCCATTAGAGTTCCCATTATTTCTACCGCCTTTCCAAAGTAAGCTAAACCAGGAATAACATCAATGTTTCTTAGTTCTCGGCCCTTTGGTCGTTTAGATGATTGTTGTGGGTAACTGTGGTGATATGGAGGAGTAGAGGCAGAGAATGGAGGGGTAGAAGTCTTATATGATGGCGTGCTATTACGAATCGGTGGTGAGCCGGACGTTGGTTGAAGCGGACCAGGAACAGGGCGTTTATGCAGACAAACCGCCCCCAGAGCCAAAACTAAGAGCACCAATGCTGAATGGATCGTTTTCGGAATTCTTTGTGACGGACTGCGTCCAGAAGCCGAGCCTTGCGAATTCATTGAGGTTAATTGGCTTTGCATTGGCCCCATACCTGTGGAAGATATGCTACGCTTTCTTTTCACTGATGCTAAGGAACCTCTCCTATTGACACCTGGCGATTGCATACCGCCGTCTCCACCATCATTAACTCCCAGGCCTAGCCCTACTGATGCGCCGGGTGTTGTAGAATATGGAGTTGTAGGCGTAGCTACTTTTGGAGTAGATGATACACGGTCTGCAAACATAAAAGTCATTTTGGTAATAGTGGACCTATCCAATACAGGATGCAGAATATGAATGTTGGAAAGATAGCTGTTGAGAAGCCTTAATACGGTTTGGTGATCCATTTTGAGCCCTCCTCCGGTAGTCAAACCACTTCCTTCAGTGCCTGATTGCCTCCGAGACTGTTGATATCCATTTCCATCTACCATATCTTCCATGGGCGTATCTTCACTACTGCCCCAGTTATTGTCCATAACCTCTTCAACGCCAATCCCGCTATCCCATACGTATCCAGAGTCTGCGATTCCCTCGTCCATGTCTTCAAGCCATGATTCGGGGGTATCTATACCCTCTCCCCTTCCGTGAACTCGCAGAGGCCCCCGTTTTTCTTCTTCATCCATAACGTATGCTTCGTTCTTCAGAAATTCATCGTCAATAAGCTTTCTGATGCTGGGCCACCACATCAACTTATGTGCCGCTGTGGTGTGTTGATACGGTATTGCCAATTGCTCATCCTCCTCTAGCAACACCTCGGCAGGTGTGCCGATTGTTTGTTGTTGCGGATGACTATAAGACTTACTACTAGATGCGAGCTGAGAAGGCCCTGGGGAAGGGCGGTAGAATGGGGGCGAGTGATGCATAGTTGGTCCTGGGGGACTTGTAGCAGTCGAAACATCTTTCTGCGTGCTAGTTGTTACAGGGGTTGCATCTGTGGTCTTTGGTGCTTCAAATGATCGCCCTGAGGAATTGATTGCATCAAGAAGACCTTCAACTCTCCCTAATCGGTCCAGGATTTGGAGCAATGTTCGATCCTGTCTTTAATACCAAAAGAAACATGTTAGCCAAAAGAAACAGAAAGAATCTCTAATCTTTGAAACTCACTTTGGTGGGGGTACTTCTCTGTAAACACAGGGAATTTGTGATTCTTTACAGAATCCACAGCTTGGCCTTCCTTCGTCGCACTTGGCTTTCCTAGCTCTGCAGGCATCACATGCCTATACCCAATTGGTTAGCACCAATTCACCCATGTTTTGCACTTCTGTTACTCTGTCTAGCTGTACTAAGACAGGACAATTGCGGTTAATTAAACATTGCTAGACATTAGACTACCAACCAATGGTAGCAGGGTTGATTCTATTGGCTTTTCTCTTTTTTTCCACTTTCCTTTTCGCAACAGATGAACTCCCTTATTTCTGTTTTGCATTTGGGCACAGCTCCTTGAATTCAAAATCCTAAAATCACGGAATGATGGTTGATGTTCAAAATACGTACTTGAGCAGCTCTAATAGCTTTTCGTCGTGGGGGGTAGGTTGTCACCACCCCCATTCCTTGAAGGCCATTCATCATCCCTCCAGCACTCGTTGGTGTTGTTACCGGGCTTGTTGCCATTCCACCACTCATTTGTCCTCCTGACGGATGTCCCTGCATGTGTTGATTTATCATCCCCACTGGACCGCCAGCAAATCCCCCGGAAGTCAATATCGGACTCGGGCCTGTTCCGAGTGTAGTAGTGCTTCCAGGAGATATTGATTCGACTCCTAATGAGCCTCTGGGGTCTCCGGTACTGTGTGGGACGTAATAGTTTGGCTCCTGATATTGAGGATGACCACCAGGTGAGGATTGGGAATGGCCAGATACTGAGAGAGATCGGAGCTGCTGCACCTGTTGCTGATCGATAGCAGTGCGCATTGAAGGACCGGATGATGTGGGTGTGGGAGAAGAACCATCAAGACCACCCTGGGGTTTTTGAAGCTGATGTTGGTAGCCCTGGTAGCCAGGATTAGGGTTTGAATTGGGAGCTGATGGCATCTGAAGTGGTGAACCGGTCTGCACGTGCACAGAGCGAGGTGAATGCCCAGTACTAGGGGTTCCTAACGTGTGGGAGCTATTGACGCTCTGTCCTTGGTGTGCAGGATGGGTAGGAGGAAGGGAAGGAAGAGCAGGAGGGGGAGGTGGAGGTTGTTGTGGTGTGTGGTTATGGGGGTCATTTTTGGCTCCTCCAGCTCCCGGGGGCAGTGAGGGAACTGAGTGTGATCTCTGGTGGGATAGTGTATGCTGAATGGGGTGGGGCTGCGTTTTCATTTCCCGCCAAAATCCAGGCCCGGCCGAAGAAGCTGTGTAAGGCGAAGAATGCTGGGGATGTGACGGCGGGTGGTGCAGAGGATGTGTCTGGAACTCATGGGGGAGCGGCGAGGAGGAGGAAGAGGCCGATCCCCAAGAATTCAGACGGGGCCTTTTTGAGTCGGGGTTCGTTGCAGCCATAACAGAAAGAGGTCCGAATCCTGCACCACGGGAATTTTAGCACCAGCATATGCCAGAAACAAAATTAGAGCAACACACACAAAGCCACAAAAAAATAGTAGGATGTTCCGGAGAGGAAATCCGGGGAAGGTCAAGCAGCAGCAAGCAACCAAGCAAGTAGTGTAAACCGGTATCCAAATAACTAGGTATGTGAGTAAGTGATAGCTCCACCTTACCTTAGTAGGGAGGAGGGAGCACAGTATGGGTGGGCTG